CGCGCCCGCGGCCCGGGCAGCGCAGACGGAAATAAATATTCATATACTTATAAGTATAAATACATAAATATTCATATACTTATATTTATAAGCCATTGCGCTAAGTTTCATCTCAATCACAGATACTGCAGCTGTTGAGAACTATTAGCAACCCCCCATGGGGAGGCGCAGGGCTGCCGGCTGCTCTGAAAGGCTGAAGCACCGCGTCCCCAAAGGGCTGGAAACAGGAGTGTGTGGAGGATTGGGAGCACTGAATTTTCTATTCTCAAGTGGGGCCTGTAAAATTCGCAGTGCACGCACTCTTAGTTGTGTTTTACTTACTGAAAAGCCATAGAAGAACATAGTCCAGTGTGTCCTTTCTGAACTAGGAAGCCCAAAAGCAACCAAAGGCAGAAGACACTCCACAAAAGTATAAACTGCTTTAAGGAGGCACTAGACAAAATTTTGAAAGGCTATAAAGCAAAATAGTCTGCCTATAACTGCTTATAAAATTTCCAAACTCATCTTCCCCAGCTTCAGGCAGTAAAGATGCAGAGATAAGCCTCTACACAATTTGATTTTTCCTCTGTTCTTTGTCATCTGTTACATGCTTCTGTTGGAGAAAAATATCATTAGGTTGGACAGATTTTGCCTGGCATGAGAATATCTACTGGGCTAACGCACATAGGAATCCCTCAGTTGTTAAACCCATAGACTAGGGTTCAGCATTACCTAGACCCTGCTGACTTGCTCTAAGAAGCTGATGTTGGAAGCTACTATCCATTCTGAGAGAGGCAGAAACAGTTTTCCTTGTGGTAAGAACACAAACTTTTAACTTCAGGATTTTTGGATCTCAGTCCATAGCATGGATACATGGTTAAGTAATTTTAACCTCTTAATAAGTTTTGAGACATTTTCACGAGACATAGAGTAACACACCACTTCTTAGCCTTTTACTGCTTCTTCCCAACAAGTTTTAAATGCCTGTCCACATCAGGAAAGTGTACGTAGCCTAGGCTACATAGTACCTTTCCCATATAGCAATGCCAAGTACATAGACACAGTTTAATCTATTTAACTTCACCGACTTCTAGGAAAGAAGCTCAGAATGTGTATTCTAACTGGAGCTTTCAGCCTGGTAACAGCTGGGAAAGGAAACAAGATAAAACCCTCGATCAAATCTCTACAGAATATCTGCCATCTTTACCATAAATATTAGTAAGACCAGGAACATCCAATAATAAAATCTGAACGCACAAGAGAAGAACCAGCAAATTCAGTTTAAAAAAAAAAAAAAAAGTAACAAATGTTGCTATAAAAACAGATGCAAAGTAAAAGACAGGCCCATCTGTCCCTGAAAGCATCTCTCCTAGAATCCCATCTCAAATCTAGGAGGGCAAGGGAGAAGGGAGTTGCCTACCTATCTGTTCTCCCCTGCTGTCCCCAAACACAGCTTTGGAGCCGTATTTGGTACTTGTGATACGGTTGCCTTGGCAATTTCTACCTTGGACAGCAACTCAGTTAGAAGTACTATGGCATGAGTGACTTTGTGTGTGTGTGTGTGTATAAAACAAATTGAACATTTCTCATTTTTGCCATTCTGCATGTCCTTTTTTTTTTTTTTTTTGGCAATATAACCAAAGACTGCAGCATACCTTTGTCTGCATACCTCAGCACAAATTGAAAGGGACAGTAACAAAAGAGTACTGTTAGCCACGTGAGGATTTTCTCTGTTTCACTCCGGACAATACAACATACAGGTAAGATAGACTTATTCTAAAATGAAATCTTAGTTCTTTTCTGCAGTTCTGAATTTGTGTCAATATTATAAAATGCATTTGAATGACTAGTCCTGTACTCACACAGATATTAAAGTAGCTTTTATTAAAATAAATTCTCTTTATAAATACAATCATTACTGTGTACACATAATTCTCAAAGCACGCACTTCAATATTCAAAGTAAGTAGCACTTATATGAAATACAGTAGTCTTTCATTGCATCACTCACACACTCATACATAATTTCGTTGATCTAAAAAGGGAAGAATGACCTTGTTTTTCAAAGTACAGAGCGGTATTTACAAGCAAACATGATCCAAACAGCACATGCAGATTCAGGGTAAGTAAACACTCGGACACGAACTGCAAGACGCACTTGGTCTCCTCTACAGCAGATTATTTCTTCACAAAAAGGAGACCTATTTACAAAAACAAGAATGACAGATACAATACTAAGTTATCATTAAATTTTTGAGGTATAGATGCACACTTATTTTAAACATGACTAACTAACGCTTCAATAATAATGTATGTAAAGAGTCTGCAGACACAAATAGCAATACTACTTTTTTATTGCCAAATGTTGTGCCCTGCAGGGAACCACTAACCATTTTTAAGAGTTCAGAGAAATGCAATAAATCCTATTTTAGGGGAAACAAACACCACACTGTTCAGTCTTTGTTTAATCTAAAAGAAGCCTATCATTAATGAACTCACAAGTGTAACATAAAAGCTCTGTATCCCATGACATACTGCATGTGCAACAACTCCACAACTCATTCCGTTCTGATATAAAGAAATTGATTTTCCATTATGAAGTAAGGAGTTGCAGTCCATAACTGCAAATATTACTGCTTGGCTTCATTCATATGTATGAAATATCTAATATTTATATTAGAGTTAATCTTACCGAAGGCACGTGGCAAATGCTCTCCTGGCATTTCTGTATACAAAATGGATAGGAAACCCTTTAAACGTGTGACCATCAGGTACTGCTCTTCTTATAGCATCTTGAAACTCTTCATTTCCTGCAGAAATGCTTGTTGCACGCTCAAGCTCATAGGCTGCTAATGCTGGGGACAGCAGATAGGATAGCTGGTCGTCCCAAACAGTAGAAAGGTTAAGATCCTAGGAGGAAAGTCACAGAATAACAACTGTAGTGCAGAATGAACATTAAGATATTACAAGTTTTAAATACAGTATAAATTAATCTATGACAAATCTCTATTTTTTAGGTAATAGAAGCTAACCCACAAAGCAGTAAGATTTGCACATTGATTCACAATACTAAGAAAAACAACAGAAAAAGCAGCAAACTTTTAGCAAGAAAAGAAGTGACACTGCTAGACTAAATCAAGACCAGTACAGTTGAAAGTAGATGCTTTAGCTACAGTATCTTTGTGTGACACACAAGAAGGTAGTAATAATGCGTAACTACGTAGCAAAAACATGGAAAATAACTGAGATTCACCTCACTTGTATTCTTCCTATATCTCTCAGGGTAAAGAATTGGTAACTCCATACAGACACAGGCACACACACCCCTGTCTCCTAACATCCAACAACTGCAATCAGGTAGAAAAATCTACCACTTAAGTGTTCAGTGTTGCATGAGATTCCCAAAGTCATTTTGATGTGGGAATTACTTGTCATCCTAAGGTTGCCGCTATGTGGCAAGGGATAAAAAAGGAAATTTCTAAAATTAAAATAAAGAAAAGGTGTAAGGTTAATCAGGATTTAAAGTATCGTCCCTTCACATTCAGCAAAGGATAATCATTACTAGCACTTTGTGTGAAGCATCATGATAAATCAGAAAATAAATGTCTAAAAATACTATTAACTTTTATTTCTGTAAAGTAGTCAGAGTGAGATTATGAAAACTGAAAGCCTGCCTCCAATTATTTTTTTTTTAAACAGAATAAAAAATTTCTGATGGATACATAGTACCTACTGACAAACAGATTTGATCTTTTTAGCTCTTTCACAGACTGCTCATAGGCAATCTACAGATGCCAGTAAGCTGAAAAATCAGAGAGGGAAAAGTGGAGTGGGGGAGAGTCCAAACATGGGACTACAGAAGTGCCAGTGCAAATAACAAAAAGATGTGAACTAGCTCAATACAATCTTTCCAGATATTTTTCCTCTGTTACTTGAATTTTCACACACAGCATTTCTAAAAATCTGACGGTAATCACATTGTAAAGTCATATTTAAACCAACATACAGCTATCCAAAGCAAGTACACAGTAAAAACACAAACCCTATTACCACTGAAGACCAAAATCCTTGAACACGTTACCTTTCTGTGTTCAGAGACTAGTATTCTCAGCTGCAATTCTATCTCATTGCTTGTTATTGCAGCATCTATTGTGGAAGCACAGAGAGGAGGAAAAGGGGGAACCGAAGATACTGTTCCAGGGGAACACACAGATTTTATTGCTTCTCCGCTCATGGGTTTCCATTTAGATTCGTCGTGCAGGTCAAACACACAGAGCTCCACAGCATCAGAGGGCTGGCAATTTCCAAAGAATTTGTGATGGTTGAAGACACATCCGATGGTGCGATAAGGATACAGAGGCTTGGGCTGCTGAGCTACAGGAGGGTCATCAGGGTTGATAGGATGGTGGATGTACCTGATCAAAAAGCACACAGTTTCTGAACTAAGGACATTATTTTAAGGCAAAGTAAAAATATCTGTATAAGGAAGAAGTAGGAAATTTCTCCTTCTAAAATTTAAACTAAACTTCTTGTAAGTTTTTCCCCAAATTGCATTTGTTTCCAAAAGTTAATTTTATGTTTTAGAAGCATAGTGTACAAAATGAAATACATCTCTTTTTCTTTAAATCTAGAAAATTAGGCTGATTCGTCAAGCAGATGCTCAATAGCACTTAAAATTTTGCAACTATAACATGCCCATGCAGTTTCCCCACTCATCATATTTTAAGAAACATATCTTCAAATGCTAATCATAGTGGGAAAACAATCACATCTTATTTTCAACATTGTATATGAATCATCTCTTTTCACAAAGAATACAATACAAAAGTATTGTATTCAAATAGACATCCCCACTGCAGTTTTACCAATGTAAGAACACCACTACCTGAAGCTATACAGGAATTAAAAAAAAAAAATCTAAAGGCTAACACTTCAGAGAGCACTACAAAGTACAATACAATGGATCCCAGTGCTGAACAGCATCAACAAACTGGAAGTTATTTACATGTAGTTCTGAGCAATTTTCCTTCTGACACATAAACTGCATTTGAGTACTATCCAATGCACTGGGGCAATGTGAAATACAAAATAATAAGATAGGAAATATTTTTTAAAAATAGGTTCTATAAATTCAAGATTACAGAACATGCGTCCTTCTAAAATGTGAGAGGCTCTCGGAGAGCTTAAAAGATTTCTTTAGGTGAAAGAGCAATGTAACACTGACTTCACAGATGAATTGTGGGGAAAAATATAAGCTCTTAGACAATCATGTCTGACCATCTCCAACATCACAAACGACAGCAGTGATAGCATCACTGAGCAGTCAGCTGCCATAAAGAGGAAGCACAAACAGCCACCATGCTGTATTAAAGCCTTAAAATATATTGCAGACTGATGAAGCATATCCTCTCATGCTCAACCAGCTATTGTCCAGACAGCAGTAGTCAGGACAAAGACTCAAAGAGAGAGGTCACCTGGATACCTAGTAACACTAGAGTGTGTGTAAAACAACAGACACACCCTCTCCCTTCTCAATCTCAACGTACATTGTTCAGTTTTCTTACATTCCATTCACTCACCTATGTCCTGTTAAGCTTTCCCAAAAAGTGATGGTTCCATCAGTCCCACAAGTCACAACCCAAGTGTGAGGGACTCCTTTTGCTTTTGTTCCTACACACACAAATGCTTCCAAGCCATATCCAAGGAGAAGACTGCACAGAAGGTTAGCATGATCTTCACAGTCACCCTAGACAGTGAATGTTAATAAATAGTTTTGAAATCTCAGACATGAATTAAAAAGAAAGGACAACAAAGCAACAAAGCATGACATCTTTCAAGCAACTCTTCATATTTCCCTCTCACTCCCTCTTGCTTATCTAAAATTCACAGCAAAAGCCAAGATTAAGGTTTAAAAATGTAATTACCCTGATTCTTTCTAGACATATATATTTTACTATGTCAGAATATATCTGCCTACTACAATTTCCAAGACTGCCATAGAGGTCCAGTAGAAACATAAGAGCTTTTCACACCCTATAAGGGCAATTCTAAGCACTAGACGAACCAGTAGGTTTTAGATCTAATGTAGAATCACTGTTTACTAAGGCAGGAGGCTAGCAATACTTCTCCTTCCATTTCTATACTTTCATATTCTTTATTCTTTCAGCCAAGGGAAGAAAGATAGTCAAAATCATGAATTAGGTTTGATTCTGGTAATGGTATAATGTGAAAACTAACTGCTACAAACTAGAGTAAAAGCTCCAGACTATTTTTACAAATACTGATCCCTACTGGTGGCTAGTAAACTTATTTTAGCACAAGAATTAATTCTTCATTTGCCAAGTTTCAGGTTTCTGTAACAAAACAAAAAAACAAACAGTAGTAGTTTCTAGTGATAGAAAATCTATATTTTTTGATTTGACTAAAGGATATGATTAATATTAGGAAATATTTTTAAATATTATAACAATACCTTCAGGTTAATGAAAACCATAGTTACAGGGCTATCAAGACAAAAATATTCTAATTAAAAATCACAATGCAAATAAGGGAAACATCTGAGGAAATAATAGAAATTATGCAATACTCTCATACAGTTAGGAAATGCAGATCTGCTAGTCACTTAAAATCTAATTCTCACTTTACTGCCTTCAATGTGCTGTCAAAGCTCAGAACTAAACAAAACCAAAAGAGAATAGACAGAACAACAACAAAAAAAATCTGATAAATCTTGTCTAGAGGCATTTCCCTTCAACCAACAAAAAGGTTTCCCTAATTAAATTTATCGCTACCATTGATAATTCACAGAAATAATGAATCTGAATGGGGTGCTTGATGTTCTTACTCTTTTAATCAATAAAGAACTCAAATTCTTAATAACAAGTTGGCAATAAAGAAACCCCAAAACCACATCCTCATGCAGTGATTTCCCCACAATGCGAAGCACAGCCTTGCAGAGGAGAACAATAAGGCCCTTTTAGCCAACTATTATTCAGAATATTGGAAATGTGGAAGACAATGCTGTTAGGTGGATTTATTAATTGAAGAGAGAGCTATTTTCCTCCACCATAAGACATAGGCAAAATATCTAGAGGAGTAGATTAAAACAAGTTTCTGGCAAACCTGTGTTCATTTAACAATGCCACACCACTTTTCACAAGAGAAATTACAAACACCAACGGGTGTCTCAGGGGCTAAATTCAGCTATTTTCTGTACAACTGTCCACTTCTGCCTTGGACTAAACTCTTTCTATGTACCTCCAAATAGCAGTCTTCAATCCCCAAGTCACTGTCATCACTTAGATGTAGAAACTAGTTGGTAGTTGAGAACGTGCACTTATATGGTACCTATGCATGATGCAGTACTTGGAGAAATCAGCTAATGCTTAGTCTGTTTGGTCTTTGAGAAGGTCTAAAAATTGGTATAAGCTTCTCCTTGCAAAAATAACAGATCTTTTTAACATAAACACATCAGAGAGACTGTTATTGAAAGCAGAAGTATTTCAATGGTGATTAAAAGCACTGATCACTCAAGAGAAGGTGATCCGTATTCCTTTATTCATGCAACATCTATTATAGTAATATAATAAAAAATGTCTGATACCAAGAACTAAGCTGACTTGCAGCGGAAATTCATATATTGAAAATAGGTTATATAAGTTTACTGATAGCATATTTTAGCATATAAAAACAGAGTAATTTTGTGTAAGACAGACTTTTCCAACTCTTCCTATATTACTCTAGAATTTGAAGTTGCTGTCTGCATGCTAGCAGAGATTCATGGAATAGTTGTATGGCATCTTAGAAAAGCAAATGAAGAAAAAACAACCTTATTGTCAGACAAAGATGTATTGAAAAATATGGATACCAACAACAGCAGTAAAACAAAAGTTAAGTCCCCTCCAAATCCTTCTAATCTACTACAGTCCTCTTTAAAAAAAACCTCAGACTACGAATTATTTGTGATTGATAGCAATCTGACAGGGATTTATCCCGTGTATTTGCAGTCTGCAACATGTTACTAATTCCAAATATGCTATCCAGCTCTACTGTGTCTTACAAAGACACCTTGCAGGCGTACCTTGCTTCTGCAGAGGAAAGCAAGAAGGGTGCACCACTGCTCCTGCTTGCCGCCGCCGCCTCCGATGACAGGCGCTCTCTCGTAGCCCAGGACGCTGACGAAGCGCGCGGCTTGTCTAGGCGTGTCCAGCAACCGGCCCGCTCGGAGCGGCCTGATGTACGAACACACTGGACGGTTTATCCCATTTTCATCCTGAACATAGCATCCGGTTACTTGGCGGCCATACAAACACCACAAAAGATTCATCTTAATTCAGACTGTCTTTCTTGAAGCGAGATTTTCTATCTCCCAAATAAATACCATTCAAGATAATTAATACAAAAAATGCCCCTGGAATTAAGGCACGAGATTCATTCAGAGATAACAGATTTTTCCTCCAGGTCTGTCACTAGTAAAGTGTTTCAGACTCAGAGTTCAAACACCTAGAGCTATACAAGCTGAACATATTTCCTTAAATGAGAGAAACCGTTCATGCTTTTCCCACAATCAAATTACATATATCATCACATAAACAAGCAAAACATCCAGAGTTTAAAAGGTTGTTATTTGCTTCTGCATTTGACCACTCTCTCTCCCACAAAAAACAGTGACTTCATTATGAACAAATGTCACCAGACTTACACAGAGACAAATACTATTTTTGACTTATTGGAAAAAGTGAGAAATAAGATCAGAAATCAATCAGTTCTATTTTGCGTTGCAAGAAAATACTATGATTATCAACTATTAAAACTATTTGAAGCAGTACATTTCCTCATTGTGCCAATACTTTCATATTTGTGCATCAAAGATTTTTGTAGCTCTACAGCTTCAGGAAATAATGGTCTGACTTTTTTAAACTAGAAAGTTACCAGCTACTATGGTCACATAGTGCCCATGTTAAGGTTTTGTCATGTTTTCCCTGCATGTTGGTGTAACAAAGGCAGCTGATACTGGATGCTGACTGAAATCCTGTAGGAAATAAACTCCCAGGCAGAAAGCAGGGAGAGATTGCAGTGAGAAGTCCACATTTATCTACTATAGTCTCACATATTTAATACATGCTTCTGCAACACATGCTCCTGCATTATGCATATAAAAGCAGATAATAATGTGATAATTGAATTTCTCATACAATTCTGATAATCTAATTTCTCCACTTCCACTGGCTTTTCATCTACCATTATAAAGCTTTACAGAGATCGAGTAAGATTGTAGTCAAGAAATTTTTAACTCCTAGGATTACATAACTGAAATGAACAGAAAGGCGCTTAAAAGGCAGTTTTATTAACATTTGCCATGGCCAGTGGGAAACTCGCCACTGCTTTCTCTAGGTATTGGGCCAGCAAATGGCCTAGTTCCTACAGTGTTCTGAGGCTGCCAGTTTCTAAATTGTTCTGTAATAGAGGATTTAGTCCTCTAATCTAACCCACAAAACCTTCCCTCCAAGCCTCTCCTCAACCCTAGTGTAGCTCTTCTGGTACAGAAAGTGTAGTACTGTTAATTCTTACACTGCTTCCGCAATCAAATTTCCAGTTCTACAACTCCCAATCTAGTTAAAGGTTTTGCTTCCCTGCATTTCTTGCCTTGAAAACCTTAACCATAATTTTGAAGTTTGCATCACTGCTAAACACTCTCTGCACAGCCAAAACAGAATAGCCAGAACAGCAGTTACTTCACTGCAGGAAAACATGAGATATGAAACTGCTTCAGCAAGATACTCTGCGGTAATGAGCTACCGCTCCCCAGCTGCTGTAGGAAGACTGTGTCTGTGCATACTAACCGCAAAGTATCTTACCACTCCTTTTACTGGGGGACAGTTGCCAAGGAGCAATTGACACACAGTAATTTTTTACCCGAGCAAAATTTGTTCATGTCTGTTGCTAGCCTGCAATTCTAACCAGCCAAATTACTTAATAAACTACAAAGAACTTGAATATGGAATGGATTAGCTAGTATATCCACTTCTTGAGTTGCTTCAGCTGATATAAAACTTGCCTTAAATAGTTTGCATAAACCACTTGAGCCTTTGCCAAGGAAACGGCTAAACTAGCTTTAACTCCTACATCAGCAGTTGCAATGTAGCCTTACTACTGCATCATTAAATGACAAGAATCACATAAAAGTTCAATTTTGACAATTTTCATTTTTTTACGTTACATCAGATGTAGCCCTGACCTGACTGTAATACTATAAATCTATATTCTATATATTTATATATAGATCTAACTCTACATTCTGTATACATAAACACACAGAAAATTCAAATAGGTATACAAAATAATTAGATACCTCAGAGAACAGATTACTCTATTAGCAGAATTTACAAACCTGTGCAAAAATCTTTACTAGCCTTACGTTGTGTGTAGGCCTAATCTGCAGGTATTCTCTCCACCACTGCTTAGCATATACAAGAAATAATCGTTCTTTTTCTGCTGTTTTCTGTCGTTCCAAAGAAAACTGCAGGTAAGAAAACAGAACAGCCTCACATAGATTAACGCCAAAGAGAATAAATGCAAATCAATAAATATATTAACATCAAATGCTAGCATATGTAAAAATGAAGCTTAGCATTCAAAACTTACTAAAGAAATGAAAAATTTGTCTTCAAACTAAAACACAATGAATGAAAACTTGGCTTGTGAAGTGTGGAAGAAAACCTGCGTACACCTTCAGGCCAACATCTACTGGCTTTGCGAGCAGGATAACTGGTGGTTGAAATGATTTTTCAAAATGGAAAGAAAACAAGGAAGCTCATCTACTGTCTGCAGAAAGTGTATTGCATCTACCTCATTCCTCTCCCTAAAGTTTTGATACAGGTAGCTCGAAAAACTGCTACAGTAATAATGATCCATATAAAAGAATAGTTTAAGAAAAGCTGATTTTATTTAAATGTAATGAAAGATTAACACTAGATATGCAAAAACTCCACAGTTCACTTACTTGAGTACTAGTGATTTCTGGAGACAGCACCTTGTTTAGCTGTGGATATATTTCAAGTCTGATATTTAAAACGCCGACAGAGACCTTTGATTCTGTACCTTTGAATCAAAACACATTTTGATCAATTTTCTCAAGTTCATTTCACTTCGGACATTCCAGACAGGCAAGAACCGCAAGTACAAAAAGTGTCTTTAAGCATATGCAAAATAAAAATCTTTAAGTTTCAAACAAGAATGAGCCAACTGGGACTGAAAGAAAGGGTAATCAGATCAGAAAGACATTTATCTACATCTTAGATAATTACCCAACCCTCCTTGTACAGCCAACACTGGAATATATTGCAAGTGGCATTCCAGATGTGCTTCGAATAGGTATATAAAATATATTGAAAAAGTCATACTGAAATTACTATGTTTACTAATTACACAAGTAGATTAGACATAAGCAGTCAAAACTAAACGTTCATCTTCCCCAAAATGTATTTATTATCAAGGACCCAGCATACTATAATAGTCAAAAAACAACAAAAAAGAAACCATTTAAATTTAAAATCTAGAATTAAATAGGCAGAAGAAATAAAATGCACACATATGAAATTATAAGTAGTATGAGTAACAGATAAGAGTTTGTCTATCTATCCAAGATGGTGGTATGCTTCAATATTGTCGATGCGTTTTGTACAATGACAAGACTTTGAAAGAGGAGAAAAAGCACTGGATTTAGATATTGATTCCTTATCCCTTGGGGAAAAATAGAAAAAAAATAGAAATAATTCAACTTCCTCTTTTACCTTCACATCTCAGCTCCAGTTATTTTGTATACATTTCCTAATATTGTAATTGAAACTTTTTTACTTGAAAGACTATCCAAGTCCCTTTTACTAAGTATGTTTTCTCAACAGTCAGCATTTTCCAACAGAGTTAGTGCTGCCAAACACTAGTAAATAAGGTTAGCAGATTTGTGTTCATTGGATAAACACAGCACTAAATCATCTCCAAAAAGCAAGCGACAGAGATAAGAATCAGGAATAATTTACTATGTAAATCAAATATTTAAAATACTTTATATATAATTTATATATCTATTTAAAAATTATAATTTAGTTATAATTTATAATTTAATCTCTTAGGAAATTAGAAAGGACTGCTCACCTAAGAGGTAGAGAAATTGTGATAAAGGACTCTCAAATGGTTCATCAACTACTACTGGCCCAATCTCTGGGAGAGCCAGAGTAGGAATTCATGCTAGATCTAGTTCTATATCTCGTCTTTACCCACTAAATTATAATATCCTAGCAACTCCTAGAGGGGCATTTACAGAGTGGTACGTAGGAATACACATGTAGACTGACTGCAAAGCACCTAAACAAAGCTGCTCACCTATTCTAGCAGAAGTTTCCAGCAGCTGGAATGGATAGTGGCACAGCAGAAGACACTTTGCCAAGCAGTTATTACTTTGCTGTAAAAGGGATACCCACTAGATTTTATTCTTCGTACACTAGCCCAATAAATTCACAGATATTCATCTGTTGAAGGCGTGGGGAGGGCTGAAAGTTTAATAACTCGTCTAAATTCTGCAAAAAAAACTCATAGTGGAAATATCCATCTGACATGGGGACCACTATTAGAGAAGTTCTGCAATACATGGTTTTAGTATTTGATAACGATGAAAAATCTGACTATTGGTCTCCCACATACACATTTTATAAGGATAGCTCATAATAATTCATGAGCTGTAATTAAACTATGACATAAATACTTCTTTGAGTGTATAAGCAAACAATTTTAAGTGTTTTAATTATACCCTTATTATGTATTCTTACCTACACCAAGGAGCTCAACAGCAACGTTTGTTACACCGTTCTCTGCAGCCAGGACAGATCGCCATTCCAAGAAATAGGACGCTACTAGTGTGGTCTCGCCAAAAGTGTCTGTTCTGATCAGAACCATATGTACTGGATCTGATATTGATAACATCGCTGTCGCATCCACCATTTTACTTCCATCACCTGCCATTAATAAACCAAGATAGCCAGAACATTATTACAAATAAAAGGACAGGCATTTACATTTATTGCATACATGACATTTTAAGAAAGTACTTCGTCAAAAAGTGTAAGCAACAAAAATCCCATCTTAAATAAAAGTAAGATCAAGACAGTTCCAGAAAGATTGGCATCCATTCATTTATGGAGGCAAAAAAAAATTCTATATTTGAATACTCTAATATAACTCTTAATTGTACAAAAAATAAAATGGAAATGTTACTTAAAAAAAAAAGAAAATATTGTACTAATAAGTAAAAGCAATTGCAGATACTTATATTACTCTTTTAACAAGTGGTAATGCTTCAGGTCAGCTCACAAGACATCCATATTTAGGAAACAGCTTTCTCTGTAGTGAAGCTCTACAATAGGTTGTAGAGGCTGTCCAAAGGCTGTTTCTCTCTGAATTTGCAGTATATTCACTCTCTCCCACATGAATGCCTGCAATAACTCTAGCTTTCTTTGTTTTCTGACACTCCACAATGTACCCTAGATTTCTACAGGATTCAGACACTGCCAATCTCCTCTTCCTTTATGCCACTTTTTAAAGTTTCCCCTATTTATTCAGAAACCTTTCTGAAACATACCAAACTTGCTACCATGTGCCTGGCTAACAACAGAAGAAAGACGATAGAGGCTGTGGATGATAGCCTATTCTGCAGGTGTTTGCAAACCAGCAAGCAGACCAAAATCACACTGAAGCTTTTCCCTACCTATGACAAAGAAATTAGGCCTTTCTTCTTCACTTGTCAGCACAAGGTTCAGAAAAATATGAACTTCTTATCTCTGGGACTACTATCACACTGTTAAATCTGAATGAAGTTGGTCAAATCCAGAAGTTAGTTTGGAATGGAAAAAAGGAAAAAGAATAGGTAAGAACTGACAAAAATCTAGGAGTAGTGAAATCTGATACTGCAATTTATTTCCTTAGAAAAAAACATGATAAAAACACACCCACACACAAAATAAAGAAATAATATCAAGCACATTTTAGAATGACCACTGGGGAAAAGAACATCAGCTTCAAACGCACAATCTTCCTTACCTAGGCTGTCCTTGTGTACTTCAAGTAAAAAACCATCATGAAAATCTGGCTCACAGGCGCAGGGGACAGGTTTAGATCGAAAGCGCTGATTCCGAAAATGTAAACACAGAGTGAAGGTAGAACAGATTTGCCCAGGCAAAGGCTCCGGCTCCTGAAGATGTTCCAGGAAAGCTTTTCCACCCAAAACCTGAAGGTAAAGATACCTCCGTGTTGGGTCAATATTAGCTGTAAAGCGTAGCAATAAATATGAAGAGACTACAGAAAGATCTTAAGCATATTTATAACAGCTGTTGGTTAAATAGGAAAAAAAGGAAAAAAAAAGGTTTCAAAACAAATGTTTAAGAAAAAAAAGTAATTTTAAAATATATGGAAGATAATATACAATAAATTAAATTTTGTGTGGAACTGATTTCTGCTGCTTGCAGGAATTTACTTTCTTCGGAATTATCAAGAAAAATATCTATTTCTTTACAATATGGAAACCTAAAATGAACCCAACTCCCACTGGAATATTAGCTCAAGGAGTTCAATAAACATATACTTAAGACTTATCTTAAAACTATGCTTCAAACTTTGAAGTAAACAAGCAGCATACCTTTTTTCAGAATTGGTGGTTCTCTGTCAATAAAATGTGTAGAAGGTTTTGGTGGAGCTGAAGTCCTCTCCTTCTCGTCCACATCCTGTAATTAAAATTAGACTTCTTAAGGAGTCAAACAAGACAACAGTAACACTTCTTGCTATCTCCTAAGAATTTAATAATCTTCTACTATCATATATCAGGAGCAACTGAATAGTGTTCTTCAAACTTGTTACCTTTTAAGATTTAAAGCATAATGGCACCAAACAAGTACTTTCAATGCAACATTATCACTAAAACAACTCAGAACTCAGCAAAGCTAATACAAATGCTCAGAAGTAGTAAAATTTTTACTTTATATTAAAAGAGCTGCCATAACATCAAGCCCATAATAGAAATAACCAAAATATGTTCACACTCCAAAAGCTACTTACGGTTACAAACTTGAGTTCTTTCATAACGTCATCAATGATTCCTCGCTGTCTTAAGGCTTTCATCAGGTCTTCTGTGGACAACTGTTGATGCTCAGGTGCTAACTCCTCACGAATAGTCTCAGCAAGAACTTCTCTGATCCTGCCATGAACATCCATCTGAACAGAAAATTTGTCATATGCTCTAAACACGTTTAATGTCTCACAAGCTTTAAAAACAATACTTCCTAATAACCTCTACAATGGTTTAAGTCACACTCAGCAGTATTAAAACTGAGTATAAATCTAGTCTCCGCAAACACATTTTCATTCTCCCTCTTGATTGGAGTTTTAGTATGCAAATAATAAGAAGAAATTACACTTTTCTTATGGTCAGTTATCACTAAAATGTTACACTTTAGGTAACAAGTATTCTCCTAGCAAAACAGAGATAATGCACCAAAGAATATCACTTTCTGTACATTTGCCTAGACAACTTGGAACATGTTTAATTCCTCCTTTTCCTCCTCTTACTTATTTTTTTTAAGAAAACCAAAACCAAAACCAAACACCTTTATATAGTTGCAGGCAAGGCATACACGTAGGAAACCTGCACCGCCACTATCTCCATGATCAGTGTCTGAACTGAGCCGGATTTTTTACACTCGGACGATTCTGTCGTAAACCTGCAAGTGTTTCTGAAGCAGCTTCTACCGGAGGAGCGATCTACTAGGGCCGTAACCACCGAAACGCCGCAAGGCTCCAGCGACGCGGGAGCGAAAGCACCAACGTATCTCCCTCACTTTTCCCAACTTCCAGCAGCAGTTTCTGGCTAAAACAGCAGCGCGCAAATGCACAGCCCCCGCCGCCTCCCATCAGGGGTGCGAAATGGCGGCTCCCCCCACGGCGCGCTGGGAACGGGGCGCTACACGAAGCCGGGTTCCTCAGCGCCGCTCTCACCTTCAGCAGCTGCTGCTGGATGAGCTGCTTCAGCTCCGACGCCTTCTCCGGCGGCAGCGACATGGCGGTGCCCACAGCAAGGAGAGGGGACGGGACGGGACGGGATCAGCCCGCGCTCCGGCGCGGCGGGGGCCGAGCCCCGCCCACAGCCGCCTCCTCCTGAGGTAGGAGCAGGCGACGCGGCGCCGTGAGCCGCCTGCCTCGCTGCCGGCATGTTTGTTCCGTGCGACCGCGCCGCCGGCCCCGACCTGCGCGGCTTCACTCTGCTCGTGGTGAGTCGCCGCCTCGCCGGAGGGCCGCCCCGGCCGCCTGAGGCAGCCCGGGAGCCTCGCGGAGCGGGGCTCGTCCCTGTCTCTCACCGGTTTTGGGGCACGCGGGCCGCGGTGCTCCGCTCCCGTAATCGATTGCTCTTTATTTAATTGATAATTATCATTTATAATCATAACATCATACTTTAATATAACTTAATTTAAATGTTTTATAGCTCTCGATGACAAATTCCTTAGCCGTGCTATATTTAAGCTGAGCTTGGAATTCGTTTAGAGAATATTCTAATGGCCCGCAATACAAAATCGGTTCAAGAGAAGCTGCTGAAGGTTGCTCGGTGTGTTTATACGGTGCCAGGTTGCAAAGCAGCAAACCATCGTTTTTTCCTGCCGTTAAGTGCCGTTGCTTTATCATCATCCCTGTCACTTTTCACCAAGGGTTGCGCTGCCTCTGGTGACTGTGCATGTTCCGGGGAGGTACCAGATCCTGCACAGGAAGCTCTTGCCGATCAACTGACTGGCAACAGGAAACAGTTCCCTGCTCTTGCATTTGCCCGGAATGACAAGCCGTTGAGTACCAGGCAGTTTGTAATGACAGTCTGCAAGTACTGTGCCATCCTCTTGCATGTTGGAGTTACTGGCATCAAATGCCCTTCAATTTGCAGCTTCCTTAGAAAGATACAAACTTGCAAGTTAAATTTTTTCTTGTATGCTCTCAGATGGGGTCAGCATCATCCCATTTTGGGGATAACAAATTTCCTGGTAAATGCATCTAAGATAGCCTTAGCACTGAAGTCCCTGAACATGCTGAACTAGTTATTCACATATTTAGGTCAATCTGATATTTATAGTTCAAATGTGCAATATGTGGTTCAGTGTCACTTGGAGGCTGCCAGCCTCTGTGTTAGGTTTTTGAGTGATTTTTCACAATCTGTAGCCAAAAAATGGGAATTGGGTCGAAGAACACGAGTTTCAAAACTCTTTTTTGTTTTTTAATTTATAATGAGACAGTATTATTCACCAGTAGCCACGATGGATCTGTAAGAAAGAGACTCAATTATATATTAATAAGATGATAAGAAATATTGATTTTTGTGAGAAGATAGCACCACTTTAAGGAATCATATGTTTAATCAGAGTTCAACTGACTTAAAATTTAACTACTTGCAAAAGCAGATTGTGTTGTCCGTAAACACAATGTAATTCTTTAAGTGAATTCTGTGTTTCCTAATACTAAAACACTTCTGCAGCCTGCAGTGTCAGTGGGAAATGTTGGTCAACTGGCAATAGACCTAGTGATTTCCACGCTTGAAATGACTAAAATTGGCTATTTCTACACTGATTGCCTTGTGCCAATGGTTGGGAATAATCCATACGCAACTGCAGAAGAAAACTCAACAGAGCTGAGCATAAATGCAGAAGGTGTGTATTGAAGACGAGCTAGATCTTAAATATTTGCTTGTAGAAAGCAGTTGTAAGAACATTGCTTTTTTTTTCCTTGCATTTTGCTATAGAGAATAAACTAACTTCAGTAATTACTATTATAATTGAATCTGTGACTTACAGATAAGAATAAATATCTACACTTTGCAGAGGGTACTTACGTTTGTTATTTTGCATAACCAAGTTGAAACATGGAGAAATGTAGAAAGTGTGTGCGTACTTACAGTAAAGCATACAAGTTGAAAGAGAATGTAAAAAGTTATTTTTCTCGTCTTCTTCCTTCCCATCTATCTTTGCCTTTTCTCAATGCAGTGAGATGAGATTTTTTTTTCTTTAAAATTCTCTCTGTGCCTGAATTGCAGCATTTCAAATTGTATATACATTTTTTTCCTCTTAAATCATGGAAATATCAAGATAAACTCTCTGTGCGGCCTTGCAAAGATTATAACGAATTATCTGGGTCATTACAGGAGATCTTTGGTCTTGGGAGGAGGATTTTACTTAATTTCAGTCCTTTGTATTTATGCCAATTGAAATTAAATTCAATGAAGATGATGATTAGATAGTTGAAAGGTTTACTATCCTCAGATTTATAAGTTGGATAAATCCAAATCCTTCTCTTGTGTTCTTATTTTTATTTTTCCCTTGTAGTATATGCGTTACCTTCAAGGAAACTTGTAGTTCTGCAGATCAGATCACCTTTTGTAAAGGTATGTGTGTTCCATGTTTGTTCCCACTTGAGTATTGTCTGATATTATAGTGTCTTAAAATAAGCACAACTTAAGAAACAATACTGTTTTATGAAATAATTTCCTAAAACAAGTTGGACCAAAAAAAGCAAAATGTTTTTCTATTTAGTGATGCAACATTCTATGCACTCGATACAATTTATTTGACAAAATCTGTCTCCTCCCTTCATTAAGTTTGAGGGGGTTTATTTGCTTATTTGTTTCAAGCTCTGGAACAACTCAGCTAATTCATTAGAATTTAGCGTAAATATGTCCCTAGTTATTAGGGACAAAACAAAGTGATCTAGTTTTAGTCCATTGTTTTTTATATATATAATGAATGGAGGACATAGGAACATTAGAAAATAAATTGGAGTGACAGTAAAAATTGAGCCATTTAAGAAAAGACAAATACACAAAGACAGTAAAGAGAAAAATATAAAGATATTAATTCTAACTGTTAACTATATAGTGATTTCAGATGGGCAGAATACCACACCAGAATAAATTGCATTACAGTATTTTTGCAGTTCAAACTGTGGAAAAATACTGTGAAATTATGCCATCCCATATTGTTCTATGCTTTTTCTTTTGTTGGGTTAATGGAACACAAATAAGTGGTACAGCTGTTAATGAGGTCATCATGATTTTTATCAACATACTTTTTTTTCATTAAATTACCAAAGTGCTTTGCTTTTTCAAAAATATATCTGAAACTAAAGACTAGATGGATATGAAGAGCAAATTACATCACCACTGAACATTAAATATAACATCTAGTGTTGTAGACTTGTGGCTTTTCTCAAAGGCATAAAACTATTTTTTTTGGTCTTTTTTTCCCCCCTTTGTATTTGCATAAAGAACAAATACAGGGCATTTTCTGAAGCATTGCTTGCGTGGGTGCTAAGCAGCAAATGTGCAAGGGTTATTCTTCTGTCAAGCAGCCATGCATACCAGCGTGATGATGAGCAACTTCTCGGGTATGTGTGTGTCCTTAAATGTTTCCATTGTTTTTATTGTCCCATTATTTTTGGCAAACTGGTATATAGCTTAATACTTTCTTGGTAGCATTCCTTCATTTTGCTGTGTAGATCCTAAGATACTTAATATATTATTAAAAGAGTCTGGTGACAAAAATCCTGAGCCAATAATGGGCCGTAAGGTAATTTGGCCTGTGCCATCAGCTTCCATTTTAACAACTAAGATTGCGTTGCTGCAAGCCCTGTTAGGGGTTGGCTGCTAACACACAGCTCACCGATTAGATTTTAAAAGTTAGAGTATTTTAGTTTCTTACTTCTTGATTATTCTGTGTTTTGGGTTTTCCTTTTTTTAGTATGCTTTTTCTCTTTTTTTAAGTAACTAACTATAGTTGAATCCATTTCCATCTGAAGGAAGAATAACCGCTTTTTTTTTGTAAGCTATTCTAACAACCCTTAAACAATTCTCCTATTTAAGCGCTTACATATTTGATATGTGTCAATTATTTGATTATCTAAAAAGAGGGTTTCTTGAATTTTCAGAAGAAAAAGTTGCTTTTTTTGTCGTTTTGTTTTTAATAGTTGTATAGTTTTAATAGTCTGATGTGGTGGTGATTTCTGAAGGAAGAAATCTTACTTGCTTCACATTCAAGTATATCATTGTAAAATGTATCAGTTAGTTATAGTTGTGGCAGAAAGTTGAACGGCCCCTGATGCTTGCAGCTCCTTTCCTTCCGAAGTAGTTATATCTATGTTGTCTTGTATTCTCGTACTGACCATATCCTTGATCTGTTCCTAGGACTCCACTACGCTACCTACTTACACCTGCTCTTGAGGAATCAGTGGCAGGCCTTATGCAGGGATTAAAATGGAAAGAAATGGAAAAAGTAGCAGTCTACCCTGGAGTAAATGATACAGAGAAAGTTCTAAATATTCCTGGAGGTGGCATCACAAAACTGCTGTTCACCGAGTGGTGAGTGAGCTGCATATAAGAACATGTGCCCTGTTTTCAGGGGATTGGTAAAATTGTTTAAACTACTGATTCACTGGTAGGGGGCAGAGGTAGATTTTGTCGTGTTGTCCCTCTTAGCAAAACAGAGCATGGAAATATTTCTGTCTTTACCTTTTTCCACTCAACTGCAAGACTTACGCAGTTTTACGCATTTTTATTTGCTGCTCTTTGAATGTAGAGCTGCAAAATGTTCTCTCTGAGATTAAAGCCTTTCAGTTATGTCAAAGCAGGTGTATTTAAGAATCAATGTGTTAAGCTTGATAACTCGTGTGTTAGCTTTCCCTTTGGTGACCAGTTATATTGTTACATTTTTTTCATCCCTCTCATTTTCTTTCCCGTATGAATAATTGTCATTTTTTTCAGCTTTAAAGTACCAAACGTATTCTGCTCTGCCTGACCCAAGTTTCTTTCTCCATATTCTGCTGTTTTCTATCTTTGATTGGGAATTTTATGAGTAAAGCAGTGATACGCAGGCTATAAAACCTGTGTCTGAAATGCACTTAGATAGTCATAGTACCCTAACAAAAGGATGAAAATGCAACCTGAGTGCACAAGCAGCACCCTGGGTAACTCTGCCCAAACCTGTGATTCCTGGATCAGGAAGGCCTGAGGTGTGAAAACACAACCAAATAAATGTGGATTTGTTTTTTTTTTAGTAAATCTTATGGAGATTGTTGTGCTTAATTCATAAATATGAACTCTGAGTTCTGAGTTAGGAAAATAGACAAAAAATGTGCCTGTTCTTATTGCAGTTGTTCAAAAGGAATCCAAATGGCAGTTCTTCTGAAATTCTGCTCTGAAGGGGACAATATCCCTGATGCCTTTGCTCTTGTTAACTATCTTAATGAATGGCTCCAGCTAATTAAATGTGAAGTAAGTGCTGTTTTCTCATCTAAACTTCTTGTTTTTCTTATTTTATGACAGTTATTTTCATTTTTATTCAGTCCAGAACTTAACAAATGTTTAACTGAATTCTGCAGATTGAGAGGGTCTTTTATGGGCTTGGTTCACTTTGGTCGTTGGTCACCAAGGACAGCACCGAATATGTCTTGTTTATCATATAATATGTTTATATTTTTATACTTCTCCAGATTATATTCTTACTATCTTATTGTATTATACATTTTAACTGAAATTACCCTGGGAATTCACCCTGTGTTTGACAGGCATGGAGGAAATCTAAAGGTTTGAACTGGTTTGATCTTAGAGTAGTCTTCTCTAAAGCAATCTGTAATTGTATGATTACTTGAAAGGCTCTCTCTCTTAATATGTATGCCAGAGATAGAACTACATTAAACTGCATTATTCTCTTGAAGCTTATGAAGAATTACTCTGTGTTCCTGTTGCAGAGCAACAATTCTACAGCTACTTCTTCACAGTGGAAAATACCAAGTTCTTGGCGCTTGCTTTTTGGCAGTGGTCTCCCACCTGCGCTCTTCTAATGGCTTCTGGGTTTTCCTGCAAGCCTCCCTTATACATGGAACATCCCCGGAGAAGATGGTTGCCCAGTAATTGCCAAGCAACAGCAGCTTGCTTTGCTGTGTGCATAAATATTCTTTAATTAAGAAGAAAATTCCTTTTGCATATTAGGCTTATTGACCAAAGAAATATGGTTTGTACAGTTGTTTATGGGAATATTGCTTTTTTTCTTTAATAAAAGAAAATTGGAAAAGAAAAACCTTTTACTTTGGTTAGTATTATTACCATGGGAAAGCTTGCAGTTTCCTTTGTTTGATCAAATAGCTGAGAACCTGAGGTTGATATGCAGCTCTTTTCCTGAAGATGAAACCCTGCTCTTGTTTGTCAACTTTGTATCTCCTTATATCACCAGGAAGGCTTTGGAGAAAAAAAGCTAGGTAAAGTTTTGAGAGAATTTTGTTCTGTTTTCTTTGTCCTGTTGCTACTGCGGTGATTTCAGTTGAGAAGGGCAAGAGAAACAGTGGTCTATTCTATCTGCTTTCATGTACTTTCACTGTGTTAATTTCTGTTTTCCTTTCAAGAGTTGCAAAAATGCCAAAGCTTTCTAGGTAGATAAGCCTTACTAGAAACAAATTTGGGCGTTCACAGAGTGCCCTAAGACTTAAAGGAAATGAACAAAATTGTTTTGGTAGCAGGCAGGAAATCTAAGCATTTTACAGTCTTATGTCTACTTTGCATCTTGGAGAACGGGTAGGTGGAACAAGTGCTTCAACTAATTATACGCTGACCTGCTGTCACATAACATCTTCTAAGGCAGACAGTCTCACGTTAAATGCAGCACTTGTGTAGGTCCTGAGCCTAGGTATGTACGGAACAATGTAAGCAGGAGCTAATTGCTGATGGCATTAGGAGAACTGGAAAGGCTGTGTGCTTACTTAATGACATCTCCAGGGTCCTTTTTTTCTTTTGTTTTTTAAGGTCTGAATTGTGTAACCCTGGTGCTTCTTATTGCTAAATGCTGTGCTAGAAATGTAAAGTAACAGTTCACAGAGCTTCACATGGAAGCTGTGTTCCCAGCTAGCTTTTGCAGAGCGCTCAGGATGAAGGTGCTTCATGGTGTAATTTAGTCCTGCCCTCCAAACCATGAACTGTGAGAGGAAAGAAGCTTCTCTGAACAAAGCAGCAACTAGCGTAGAACTGGCATTCAATGTAAGATGAGCAAAGTAACACGACTAAAAGGATCACAGCATCATTGTGAGCCTAAAAAGTTATTTTAGCCCATGATCATAAGATCACTTTCCAGGAAACTTTGAGTGGTTTTGTTATTCTGTGTTGTGCTTTCTTTTTTTCTCTCCAGCTGTAAGTATGTAGAAGGCTAAGCCATTTTGCAGCCTATTTTAGATGAATTATCTAAAATTCAATGATGAATTATCATTCTTAAAATACTCTTCAACTGTTGCATTTTTAGAAAAGGACTCGTGCTGTAAATGTTCTTCAAATGTCATCCATTATTTTGATGGGTTCTTACATTTTCTGTGAAATTAATTCATCAGCTGTGACTGAGCAGTACTGGGCTTGGAGAGGCTTGTAATAACCATGTATGCAAATACCCTGCCTTGGAATGCCAAATCTTTCCCTGCCCATGTTTGGAGCTGGCTTTAGAAGGGGAGCTTTCCTGACATACTGGAGAATTGTGGAATTCTGCTGGAGTCGCTAGACAAACTGACATACTGGAGGTGCCTGCTAAAATCAGTTGTATGGTCTGTAGGTTTTCATGAGGTGCAAATTGTTCTTAAAGAGGGGAATGAAGGCACCATATGCAGCAGGTAGAGAGGGGGGACTAGGAGCAAGGGATCGCTTAAGCTCTTTGCTTGCAGCTCTCATGAATTAAGCGCCTGATTTTGCAGCTTGGGCACAGAAACGCATACAGCCCCGTAGCAGCTGGTGCATGGCCCTTGGTGCCCCAGCAGTACTGGCCTCTGGTTTAGGCCTTGGGCCCAGACTAGTGTGCCAATATCCCTGCCTTCATGCGGGGGTCACACAGTCACCACCACGGCCACCTTGAAGCAGCAGCCCTGAAGGAGTGTATTCACACTAGCTTTCAAAATGCTGCACCAAACCCATCAACAAACCAGCTCTTCGACCACACCTTGCATATTGTAATGTCTGCTTTGGAAAACAACTACATGTGCATGTGAGATGCTTAAGCATTTTTTTTTCTAATCACGCTAGAACATTTCTAGTGGAAAAAGGGGTAATTATCATCAGACACCAACTTTTTAAGTTTTTTTTTTTTTTAGAAAGATGATTGTACAAGCAATGTTTGTTAGTTTGCTCTGCTTAACTACTTAATTCCTTGGGGATCAAATTAGTTGCTGCTTATAGGCCCTACCAACAAGTGTCAATATTCTAACAAACACCTGTGAGCCACACTGTGCTATAGCCAATGAGCTTACTAACCATCTCTGCCTCCAGACTGTTTTCTAGATGATGCTCAGTACTGCAAACATTATTGAGAGCATTAGGGAGCTCTCTTGTATAAAGCCCTGGTGTTTGGATAACACACATAGCAAACCCAAACAGGACTGTCTGCAGTTGTTTGACCAAATATCCAGCTTGTATCAAGGTCTAGAATGTACTGTGTTCAAGCAAGATATACAAGGTACTAAAAAACACTTGATACACCAAGGTCGACTCCCAGGCTTTTTAAATCACACATTAAAACAAACGAAATAAATAAGAGAGGCCACTGTTGCAAAATGAATGGTTTAAAGATAGTTTTAGTACTAAGGCGGGCTTCTGTATTTGCTGCTTAGTTTTCTGAATTACTTTTTTGGTGTTTAAGTCAACACTAGCCAGTCATTTCTGTTGGCCTTTTAATTAAACCAGTGTTGTAACATCTTAAGAAAATGTATCTGCTAGCTACTGATGGAATATGTAGATTTTTTTTAATAACAAAGCATTAAGCTTTTAAAAATGAGCATCTAAAAAGTTTTAATTATTTCAATTCATTTCAAATAAAATGCAGCCAAGCCAAGCATGATTCACTAAGGCTCTAGGAGTGTTTCCAAGTGTAGACTTACTGGTGGTGCCCTGTGATTTATATGCTCAAAGCCAGGGCAGGCAGAGGGCCAGATAATCTCAGCACACGCTGCACTACCAATCTGTTGCAGAGTTTAACAGGAATTGAGACCCCAGCCTTGGTTTCAGAGAAGACACTGCCTCACCAGCTGCTCCTCCTGCTGTGGTTGCACCATCTGTTGGCATCTGAAGAAAAGCCATTTATCTGTGCTGCAGCGCCAAGAATATGAAACTGTACACAAAGGCATCAGGTAAGTCTCTGTGTGTGACACAGGGACAACATCCCTAAGAAAACAGTAAGGCTGGAATGCATTTTAACCTAAAAGCAGCAGCATGTAGTTTATAGGTAGTTAACTAGCTAGAATGAATTTCCTTTTCCCTTCCCCTTTCAACTATTCTTTTAGTTTCTTAACAAAATACTTTTTTGAAAAAAAGTGCAATGGAATATTAAGCTTTCTTGGTCTTATTCTCTGCTGTCATTTGGTTGACTTATCTTGAATCTGTGTTAGTGATTCACAGTTTTCCACTACTGGAATCTCTCTTCAGCTATTAATCAAAACTTTACGGCATGAAATTTAGTATTTTGAGCATTTAAAAGCTGAATTCTATCAGTTAGAGCTCTTCTAAAATTCTTCAGCCACGGAGAAATGTCTCAAAAGTCCTGACCTCCACGGCCACATTTGCATCAGCTTTCCCATATTCCTAGGTTGTCTGACCTAAGTGTGTTGCAGAAGCTTTTCTCTCCAGAGGGCAGAGATCCTCACAACAGGTGGGTTAAAATACATCATCTGTTTAGATTATCTTAATCAGACATTCAGTTACAAAAAAAACTTCTAAATAACTTCTGATCAGTAGTTAAAAAAAGTTACACTACAGAAATGTCTATTCGAATTCTTTATAGTGAAGAGGAAGTCTAGGCAGGCCATAAACAATTTTTATAATGTTACAAAAATGTAGAAAGTGAACCCTGTATCACAGAAAAATCTTAAAAATTTGCAGTGAAGTGGTCAATAATTAAAAGAGTATTTAAAGGTGGAAATAGTGTATCTGTTGTCTGATGTTATAACTAGCACCTACGAAGGACTTAACCTGAAACCCTCACAACAGAGGCTAGATCATGGCAAAGGAAACCCCAAAACAGCAATCTGAGCCATTTTCAAAATGACAATTGCCACGTAGGAGTTTCTGGGAGGCTAAAAGATGACTAGTGAAACAGAGTACGCCGTGAGATGAAAACACCTGTTTTTTAGGCATACTAGAACAGCCGGGGAGCTGGTAACAAAGCTGAAAGAATCCGGCTGAGGATGGTGCCCTCCTTCCACCCTGGTCTGTAGTCACGGCAGGGATACATGCACTAGCCCCCAGCAAGCCACGCACAGCTGCAGAAAGAACTGACCATGTGAGTGTTTTGAGAAATTAGCAGTGAAGTATCTTTGCTACTTAAGAGAGCTTTCTTTTAAAAAGCTACTCTGAGGACAAATAAATTACTGAAGACAAAAGATAAAGCTGCTGTTTGGCTCCCAGGAAGTTTAGCTTAGTTAGACGAATATGAAGTACCTTCTCAAGTGAGGCACTGCAGAACAGAACTTGCAGGAGAAGGGTAGGTGAGCAAGCCCCCAGGCCAGCGGTTCTCAACAGGGAGAACTCAAGGCTTGATTTGCCCCTGTGGAAAAGACACAGCCTCTTTCCCCATGGGTGCTGCAAGTGGCTCTCGGTGCTCCGCAGGGAAGAGGGGGTGATGGGCGGCTTCGGCTGCGATGCCCCCTGCGCTCTCGCCCTGGGCTTGAGCCCAGTAACACAGCCAGGAAAAGCTATATATCTTGCTGCAGAATTGCTCTTGAAGCTGGGGAAAAAGGCAGGTTGGGTAGTCGTAATTCACAGTTCTTCAGCTGAAACATCTCCAAGTAAGTCTGTCATGCATCTACGTTTGGGGCCGTGCTGAGGAACAGGTGGTCTTTTCTCCTAGAGTGCAGCTGCTTGCCTGCCTTCATCTTCTGAAATGCCTTCTTCAGAGAAGCAGTCACCAACTGTGCTCCTGTTATAAGAGCAGCAAAGAGCAACACCAGCACTCCAGAGAGGCTTCGTGGTAGCAGTGCTCTTCTCCCCTTTACGTCTTAGGAGGGGCTGCTCACAGTGCTACTCTGAAGCAGAGCTAGCAGGCAGGCTTGGGGAGAGAGGCCCTTCAAAGGGAAGGGTGAAGGGTTTGGGGAATAGGCCACTTGGGGATGAGGCCACCATGCACAGAGCCATCCATACCTGGGAGCGCACCAGGAGCTAAAGCAGACAGAGCTGAGCGCTCCCCTCTGTAGGACAGCAGCGAGAATGAAGTGCATGCACCTCCAGGGCCGCTGCCATGTGCATAGTGCAGCTGTAAGAGGCCAAAGCATGGGACGGCACAGCTTGCGTGGACCTTGGCAGCATGCGAGTCCGACAGGCAGCTCCAGAGCTGCTGCACGCAGCACAGGCTGGCTCCCCTTGGCGCTTCCACACCGCCAGCCTTCACTGCAGTCAGTTGGGCCACATCTTGGTCCCTTGCTCTGAAATGCCTGGTTGCACAGCTCCATCAACAGACTTGAAAATGAAAGTGTCATCAGGTTTTAATACTTCCGATCTAATACAGGCTATGAACTGTTCTAGTCACCCAGAGATCTTTAAAACACTTAGACAAGCCAGATGCAGGTGGTGGTTTACACTGTTCTGCAATAGTGCCAAGCACATATTTAACTGAAATACACCTTTGACTTCAGTTTCACACTTAGTTGCTTCCTGAATCAGTCTGAAAACTAGCTTTTGCTAGTATTTCAAACTACTTATTTCAGCAGAAATACCCTTAGTAGTCTCATACTCCCAGGTCTTTCATGCTTTTTCTCCTCCTCCCCACCTTCAGCAACATTAAACTGTCTCATTTATACAAGCCCCTTTTACACAGATAACAAAAATAGGCAAAGTACAGTTACACAGAAAATCCCACAGCATCCTAGTTTGAGTATTCATATGAATTTGTTGCAAATTAAGTCTTTACTTGAAACAGCTGTAGAACTTCAATGCAGAATTTAAATTGTTGTAGAATACACAGGGCTCCAAACCCTCCTGAGCTCACTGAACTAGCCCCTTAAATCCTATTCCAGCTCCCCCTGCCTTTCCACTCTGGCCCTTTCAAATGCATCCAGCAAAGCACAGATCAGGGACTCAGGATGTGAAATAAAACATTACACACGGAACATTCCTAATGGCATAATCCCAAACCCCTTTAATTAAGGTTGACGTTGTGTGCTTCCCCCTGGCTCACAGTACCATTAATTCTGTACAACTGTGGGTATTGAACCTCAGAGTTCCTGTCATTCCTTCCTTCAAGGCATCAGCACTAACGAAACACTTTCCCTTCCACGTTAGAGGAGACATTAGGAGGGTAACTAAAGCAACAAGGTAGATAAACGAAGAGATACTCGGCAACAGAACAGTGTGAAGGTTCCTGGCCAACTGCAGTTCTTGGCAGCAGATTTGTGGGAGTGCTTGTATGAAGACCCTTCTATGGAGAATATTTCTGGAATTCCTCCAGTCATAGAGGAAACTGGGAAGTCTTCAGATAACATATAAATCCCCCTTTACCCTCCCACCAAGACTCTCTTAACATTTTCTTCCTAACATAATGCGCACACAACAGCATGTTGTCAATTTAAAAAAATATTTAATGCTGCCAAAAACATATAAAAATACAATAAGAATGGCAGTACAAAACAAAGTATTTTCTAATTTATTTCTTTTACATCTTTCTACATTAATACAGGCATTATAAAAAACAAGACAGCAAAGTATTCTGTTTTGCCGAGTAGCATGCTGGTGGTATTCTTCATCCCTTGGATGGAGTTTACGCTGTAAACAGATAATTGAGGTCTTCTCAGTATTTATTAGACCTCAGTTTTGTTCCCGAAGAGGGGTCATGTCTTGCTTTGCATGTCAATGAGTTGCAGTTTATAGCTGCAGCATATTCACAAGTCTCGAGGGCTTAGGTGTCAGTCAGTCTCGGCCTGCGACATACAACGCAAAAGAGAGTCACCGATTCAGTACACAGTGCAAAGGAAGAGCAAGAACAGACAACGGGTTTGCAACTCGCGATAAGCCACAAAGCAGCCGCTCATGCCCTCGCTGTAGTAACCACCCCGTACTCTGGCAACGCCGGTGCTTTTCCACAGGGATTTTCCACAGTGTAACGGGCTAACTAGGCACCTTACTCGCCGGAGAGCTCCTGCACCTAATTGCAAGCCTTGCGGAGATCTTCTTCCACCTCAGAGGGATAGAGAGGGCGGCACCTCAAGGCGCTGCCACTGCCTTCCGGGCCTTTGCAGGCCAGTCCTGGCAGAGCAGCAGGCAAAGAATTGTTCCTAGGCAAGTTCTGTGTGTGCCATGGGAGCCATTCCAGCACGGAACGTCTTGTCCTGAGGCAAGGTTAGGCTGCGCTTGAGGACACGTAAAAGGACCTCGCTATTCACAGCATCAAAATACCCAGGGAGCTAGAAGCAAAGCGCTTGAACCTTCTATAAACACTACTTGATTTACAGCAGATTTCTGTCAGTTAAAACATTAAAGAATTCTTCCAAATATTAATGCTTCCAATTTAAATAAAGACTCAGACAGAGGTACACTTTTGAACATATTTTTATTTTTAATACATTAAAAAAAAAAAGACTGATCTAAAACACTGCAAGAGAAAACAGGAAGGCTGTATGCTATGTCGCGTTTGCAGATCTCATCCCTGTGGCTTAAGCCCCTGCTGACGGAAGGGCTCTGCTCTCGTCACCGCTGGCGGCTGGGGCCGCCAAGTCTCAGGTTACAGCCCGGTGCCCACAGCGAGCGCATCCAAGAGCCAAGAGCTCGGTGAGCGCTGGCTAGCCTGAAAGCTACCCGGGCCCAGCAGAGCCCACGTCGCCACGCGCCCGGCACGCGCACGCTCGGGCTTCTCCCCGAGGCAGCTCAACACCGCAGAGCGATAGGAGAGGTCCTCCCACATCTGCCCCCACACACACATGAAATCCTGTGAAACGTGCATGGTTTGGGCAAAGTGTGCACTTGGCTGCCAAAGCATTAACTCATCTAATGCTAAGAAGTCTGCTATGCAAATACTGTGGTTAATACAATATTTCCAAAACAAGGATGGCGAGTGAAGGGTTCAAATCACCGTAAGATTTTTGAGCCAAAAGTTCAACATTTCAGAGGCAGTGAAGTAACAACCTGCAGCTTGCCAGAAACTAGGATTTTTTCCCCCTTTGTTTTTACACTTTAAGCATCTCCTAAAACATAGGTCCCAGGCACTGACAGGCCTTCATTTTAATCCACATTTGTTCTTATTTAACATTCAAGTTGTTTAAAACTATTTTAAACTGAAATTCTACTGAACAAGAGTATCACACAGCTCGCCTCTCACAAACATTTTATTGAAGGACAGAAGGCAGGAAGGCTAATTTTGTCCTGAGGCAGCTACTGATGGTCCAGAAAATAAGGTTTCATCCAAATCATTTCCTGGAAGATACTTAGAAATCTAACGCTTAATTTCCCTTCCTACTCCCACACAGTGACAGACTGAGTGCAGAACACTTTTGAGCAACACTCCTAATTAACAATTAGACTCTGGAAATGCACCTAATGATGTAGCGGAATCAACTCTTACACATTAGCTGTTTCACACGCAGCCCTACATCATATCGAGAACATAGGATGTCATACAACAAGAGCATCCCACACACGCCCTGCTCCCATGACCAAGGAAAGAACAAAAAGAGAACAGAGTAGCCAAATTTTAGGGAATGGAGTTAAGGAGGACAGGAGGGAAAAAAAAAAAAAAAAGGTTTTGAATTGCCAATACACAGAGCTTAATGGCAGTAGGGTGCCCAGGAAAATTCCTTTCATGTTGAATATGGAAGTAACAATGTTATTTCAGGGAAGCTCGCTCTTGCATTTTTTCCCTATCTGCTTTTAAACACCTAGAATCTGGAATATTTGTTACGAAAGCACTCTTGCATTCCATGTGTTTTTTCATGGACAACATAACTTTTGCAAGGCACGTACATTTCCACTGCGGATTAGTAGAGCAAATACTGAAAAATCTTCAGTCTTCACCATCAAAAACGTTCTGCCAGCCTCTTGTTAACCAAGAGTTATTACTATTGTTGTTAGCACTGCAACCCACCCTGAAGTGCTTCGGCTGCCTGCACCTGAGAGCGTCACAGCAACCCGTGAGTCACTAACGTGACAGGACAAATTATCTGGTTTTAATCAATAATGCTCTGAACGGCATCTCCTGAGGAGCCGCCCTTGTTTTGTTTTTATTCTTCTTTATCTGGACATTGTGCATTTGTTTACTACGTAAACAGTATTAGCCATTGTGAAATGAGAATTTCAAAGTGGGAATCTCGACTTTGCTCTGTGCAGTGAGTGCTGGCCCATGCGGGCCCCACGCCTGGCACGTTCCAGCCGGGCTGCAGGGCACTGGATGGAGGCACAAATCACTCCCTAGCCGAGCACTTCTTGGCTCCAAATCCAAGCGGTGCCCAAAGGGCACCTGCCCTCGTCCCCTCCATCAGCGTACGTCAAGGGAGAGAGAAAAACAACTTCTCGAATGTCACCTAGCAAGACCGTATTTGAGTGAACATAAACCAGGCTTCTCGCTGCAGGCCAGCGGAGAAGACACCAGGTCTCAAGCTAGATACAGCCACAGACAGCGCCACCACTCAGAGAGAAGGGCAGAGGCGACTCGTGTTGCGGCACCGTTCCGGAAGAATCTCTGCCCCAGAACACAAGGCAGGGGCTCACGCAGCGTAACAGCGAGGGGATCTTGGCACAAGTCTTCCCAAGACAGACCGCTCAGGGCTTTGCTACCTCACCTCTGCAGCAGGGCGGGAAAAACCCAAACACCACTTGAGGTGGCTCTCCCACACTTCATGGTGTTATAGATATGCCCAAGACAACTGGAAATACTGACTACAGTAGGATATTAACAACATCTCTCTTCAATTAAAACCACCCTTGGAAGTCAGACTTTTCTTTGATGCACTTTCTATGCCCATGCCTAGCGAATGAAGTTTATTCCTTGGAGCAATTAAAATCTATAGACACACAAAACATCATGTTTCACATTTAATGGAATGTCAGAACTTTAACAATGCTGGGCTTCAAACAAGAGCTGAAGTCTGAATACATTAATCACTTGAACAGTAGGCTTTCTCAGTGGGGGCAAACTTCTCAAAAGCTTTAAAAAAAAGTCAAATCTCCAAGCCTTATTTAAATAACGAAAACTACAAAAAATAAATAAGGAATGCAAATTAACAAAAAGAAATTGTTAAGTGCTTCATCAGACCCCCTAGCTGCTCATTTCAGAAATCTGAGTCAAAATATGGGGAATGGTTGCACTGTCATTTTCATGCACAAATTAACATTTAATTTCAAAATCAAATTCTTTTTGGTCAGAAATGTGTACAAACTGAGCTTTTAAAAGTACAGTAAACTACAAAAAGATTAAATATGCAATTATAAAATATATTTATCCTAGGTCATAAGAATATAAAATGTTTATGTTCACGTCACTAATACATTACACATTACACACATTTATGTATAACTTCTTTGCATTAATGATGTAAATAATAACAATACTGTTTATTGCTTATGTCAGGCATGTAAATTAAAACCCAGACAATCTTCAGTAGCTAAACTCCGAGTTCAGGGTTTACCTAGGAGATTTGGTCTAACACCATTTTTAAAAGTGTATAAACAGTTGCAGCAAGTTTGTACCTGGTCATACAAGTGGAAAAAACAAAAACAAAAACAAAACAAAAAGAACAAACCAACTTTGTTGGGGGTAACAGTTCATTTTCCTAAGTACCTGCAGCGGAGAGTCCTGAGATGTTGACATGTGATCAGCTGGAATTACTGCTCTAGTTTGCTCCTAATTGTGTGTACCCATTCCAGGTGTAAAGAGTTTCCTGCTTTTAAGTCAGACCCCTAGCCACTACCTCGCAGCACGATTATCTGCTACAGCAGACAGGCTTATTGTTTACTTACGAGGAATGTTCTTGAAAATACATTTTCCAGCAAGAATAAGCTCCAACTAAAATCAATGCACCAAACCCAATCTTAGTGAGAATAGGTTTCCAATATAACCACCTTTTTCTTTTTCTTTCAGTCTCATTTAGCTTCTGCTTCATCTGCTGCAGCTTCTGTGCTGTGATAGCTTTTCTATCCTCTCGCAGCCGTTTTCGAACAGTACTTGGAGAGAAGGAGAGAGGGAAAAGGTAAATTTTCAGTTGCAGAACAGGAAAAGTCCGTAATACAACAGTAAAACTAAAATTCTCTTCCCAGTATATTTCTGGTAATTAACCCATCTGTCACAGTAGCATGAAAGTGTAAAAAAATTCTGTTTTATCTGGAACTGCACATCAAGACTAAGTGAAGCCTGATAAAGTTGGTAAATGATATACACGAAGTAAAAGTCCTAAGTAAATAACTGCCCTTAATCTAACATCCGAGCATAGTCCTCCCCTTCAGCACCTGAGGCTTTCTGCGTGGATGCTGCTCGGATGCACAGTGCAAGACCCTGCACGCACAGCCTAAAAGCAGTACGGGTATAGATGTTTGCATGCAGAGTTAGCACTAGCCTCTCTGGTACACTGATCCTCATCTACGCACGTCTGCAGATTTGATGCTGCCTGTCTTACGCTGTGAGCTAAGTCTTAATCAAAGACCCAGGCTGACACTCACTTGTGTGCTATTACCCTACGAGTGACTTCTCCCAATTCTTGTCGCCAGGTCTCCGTAAAGCCCTCCGGAGAGCACAGCCCGTCTGCAGGACGGCCCCTGCACACGGCGCCCTCGCTGGCCCCTGCTCGCAGGGACCCTGCACTTATCTAGGGACGCAGCGTCGCTCCTCCCCAAAACACAGCAGGGCTCCGTGCTGAAGTACGAGAGATAAAAAGAGCACTAGGGCATTCAGCATCCCGCCCAGCTGCTCCTCAGGAGTTTTGCCCTCCCTATCTGCTCAGGGCAGCTGCTTCTCGGCACCCGGAGCGCGTGGGCGCTGATGCCGGGGGCCCGGGGGCTCTGCGGCGCCCAGGGCTCTTCCCAGGGCCACACCTCATGCCGGCTCGGAGCTAGAGCCACGGGTTCACACATCAGCACTCGGGACAGGCTCACTTGGCTGCAAAAGTGAAGCTCACATCACAGCTAAGCGACACAACTCTATCAACAGTGGTAAATCTGGTAAAAATAGAAGTAAAATATGGCTTCAGTGACACTGCAGTCACTAAACAGAAAGCAGCAGGCAAGAGAAATGGTGTGCTTCTCAAGTATCAGGCATTCTTTTTCCAACCAGCAGTTATGTGATGTGCACTGTGCAGAGATCACAGACTGCTGGAAAATGCTTTCCAGCAAGAAGTTCAGCTTCAACTCTGGACACTTGTTTATAATTTCACCTCTGTACAACTTCTAATCGCAAGAAATAACTGAAGTTGCATATTTAAAAAAACAAAACAAAACACTATCTTTCTTTTCTCTCTGCTAAAAAAAGATCTTAAATGGAGGTTTCCCTCCAGTAAGAAAAGCAGATAACAATAACTTGACCTGTCTTAAGAGTATCTCTCCCTTCTGTTCTTTTTTTTTTGCCTACCTTTCAATGCTTCCATCTGTTATATCTTGAACTTTATTGGACAGGTCGGCATTTATTTTCTCCACTTGATCTTCCTTCTCCAGGCCTATGCTGTTGCCATTGTACTTCTCTGTTATTTTGGGTGGATGTGGAGGAGACTGCTCAGAACTCGGTGCTTGGTCCTCCTTAGAGAGCTCCTTCCACCTTTTCTGAATCGGGGAGAAGAGATTTCAAACATCTTTAACACCAAATATTATCTCCACACAAGACATTCTCCCACAGAAGAGTCACAACAAGAGATGAATGGAACTATTAGATCAGGATAAAAAACAAATGTAGATAAACAAATAAGTTTCAGTGGATGCATGCGTGCTGAAGGGAAAATCTAGTAAGTCAACCACGTACTCTCTGGATGCACCAAAATGTTGCAGTGATCCCCATGAACAGCCACCCGTGTGCCAGGGAGGGCTGAAACAAGCTATGGGACTTTTACTGGAGACCCCTCAGTGAGCACTGCTTTCTTAGCTGCCTGTGACAGACTAGCACAGCACCAGCAAGGATGCTCATGAAAAAAGACTGATAAGTAAAAAAGGTCATTTCTTTCAAAGTAAACCCCAGCCTGGCTACATGTCAGTGTGCTATCTTAACACAGGCAGACAAAAGTGATATATCTGCCAAGAAATGGACTTTGCTGCAAAAGAGCACATAGCACAATTTTTCTTTACTTCAGGAGTATTTTGTTAGGGCAAAGCTGCTCCATGCTTTGGAGGAGCTCGTACCACTTCTTTACAAGCAGCTCTCGTTAGATAAAGAAACACCTAAACTAATTCCTGCAACATCCAAAGGTACCAAAAGAGCAGCCAAAAGAGCAGGAGAACTTTTTTTTTTTGTTTAAATAATAAAAGGGACGGGGGTTTTAGACAAGCAGATTAGCGGGCAGGGAAGAGTAAGACTATCAAAAATTAAGATAGTGTTTACAAGTCTTTTTACTACTGACAGATAAAAGTAGTGAGGAGAGCCGTTCAAGCATTTCTGGACAGACAGGAAGGGAAGGATTTTGAAGTTTCATAAGAACTCGTGAATTTCTGGCCTTCTTAGCCGAAATGCTGGCATTACAAACATCAAAGTCCTACAAAGGGCAAAACCACCTCTTCACCTCTTTGCTATTCCTATTTTAGTACTTTTTTTTTTTTCTAGCAATGTGTTTTTATCTTTGTACTTCTAGGAACTGATACATGGTGCGATCTCCAAGAAACACAAGCACTCCATCAGCTCTGTCAGAAGGTCTCTCTTCCGCCAGGATCCCTTTTTCTACATCTCAGAATGGAAGCTGAGGTTTAGAGCCTGTGCTGCCAGTGGACTGAATGGGGACACAAAAAGGCATGTTAAAATCTGCAGCTGACAGAGGACAGCAGAGAATGTTTAGATTCACAGGTTACAGGACAAAACTGTATCATTCCTGTTTTCTGGCTACAAAATAGAACAGATCTATGAAATTTAGCATTCTTTGTCCTCTGGAAGCCACCAGTTAGTTTTTCAGGTATCACTGTTTTTTCTGAACGCCTAATGACAAGTGATTCTACCATACTGTGGAAACAATGGTTAGTTTGCTTTATCAAGGAGCTGTTTCATCTAAGTGGCGACATTAATATGTTCCTTTGCCCCACTTCTCATACAATGCAGTGCTGTATGTAACACAATTATGAACCAAGGGACCTTCTCAGGCCACTTGTACAAAAGCCACGAAACTCTGCGATCCTTTCCTCGTGTCACACTAGAAGTCCTACAGGTGCGACTCGAGGGGATGGGCTCCTCTCCTGATATGGGCACTGCAGTTGCAGCCCTCTAGCTGAAAGCAAGCACAGCACATAGCGGAACCTCTCCTTACCGGCACAGTTTAGAAACTTCAGAGACCCATGGAGGAGCCAGAGAGGAACACCCGGCGTGTTTTACTGCAGCGTTACATTGAGTAGCTTCACACCCGCCCCATAACTAGCAGACAGGAGTAGATAGGCTCTCTGTCTGGTTGAAGGATGGTATTTCCCTATGGGTTAAAAAAAAAAAAGGCTCTAGCTGGCCTTGAAATGAGAAACACTCTTATAAATACAAGAACTGATTATCTGTATGAGACCCTGAGGCCAGGACAGCTACTGAGAGTACAGAAAAGGCTGGCTGAGGAAAGGTCATCTGACACCCGACCAGGTCCCCAAAATAAAAGAGAAAATAGAAGAATGTGCTTTCTTAGGCAAGTTCTTAGTGTTGAGAAATAACACACTTGTAGTTGAAAGCAGTATTCAGAGCTGACAATGCTTTCTTGTATCCACAAACAAGAAATCCTGTAATCTAGATGGACAAAATGTGGGAAATGAAGTTGCTCAGTTCTAAGTATGGCTTTTTAATACACAAAGCAGAAAGATGAACAGACCACCAGAAGCCACTTCCAGAAAACCAGGAGGTTAAGTTACTGTTTGTGTTCAGATGAATCAGGCAGCGTTTCGGTCACAAGATGCAGATATCAGACTAACATCACGCTGCCTTGGTGTTGCTTAGTGGAGCTGTAAACTGACTTACTTCACACTATGCCAAAGAATATTTGTCACAGGGAAGAATCTGGCAGCTACCAGAAATGCAGAAGACGTGTTTTAACTTACCAGTTTCATTCATAATTTCAAAAAGTCAACAAAATACAAAAGCCTTAGCAGATGAAAGCAGATTAAATCTGTTACACAATCTCCCCTCTCCCTTGCCCCAGCAAATAAAAAAAAAGTATACTATAGTTAGAGTAGCTACTATACCTACTGGAAGCCATACTGGGAAAAAAAAATTACACTGGCCTAGATTCTATTAAGAATAACACAAAGTTTAGAGGCTAGGAATAATTTAACTTCTTGATAATCCTTATCTGTAGTAAAAAGCATTTTTAGTGTTGGGAAACTATCTAGCAAAGAAAAAAAAAAAAAAGACTGATCCTTGTCGTTTTTCAAAATGATTCCAAATATTACTTTTACCTTTCAAAAAATCTATTATTTTATAATAGTACAGACAAGTTATATTTACATTTTATCTCAGAGAAGACAAAAATATGGGATTAGAAGTTCAGCTAATAGAAAGTGCCAATTAAACACCCCAATACCTTTTGGGCACGTAATGAAAAGGCCAAGTTATTTAAATCCCAGAAAGTTGTATTTTAAAATAACTTAAGAGTCCATTATTATCTATTGTTACTAAGGTACTGCTCCTGTTTAGATATAAAACAGCTAAATATTTACCTGTATAGTTGAATCCCCCATTATAAATTTTGCTCCTTCTATTACAGCCATATATGAAAATCTTAATTGATCGGGAGTTTGAATAAGTCCCATTCGATATTTTCTCATATCCAGTAATACTTTCTTAATATCTACAGATAATGGGTCCTTTTTTTCCATCTGTAAAGAGATTTACATTTAAAAATTCACAGCCACAGATAAATGAAAAATATATATTGTACAGTTAAAATGCATGAGTCAAAGTTCAAACTAAAAATTTCTTCACATGCTGCTATTAGTTATGTAACAAATTAACATTTCAAACAGATTACTTCTGTGAAAACAATTTAGAATGTATTTAATTAAAATTTATTATGAATAAATCCATGATCACATATTATCCAAATAAGTCTATACCACAATAGTCAATTTTAAAATTAAGAAATTTAGGTAAGCCTAATTTTACTCAGGCATGTATTTATGCTTCAAAGTTATAATAAGAACCATAAAGCTACGCTAACTTTTCTTAGTACCCTTGAATGGAAGAGCAATTTGGAGTCACTGAATATGGGAGAGCCTCTGTTATTTAAGGTAACATACACATTTTTCTCCATCAACTCTGTATTGTTGTGTTTTTAAATCAAGTAACTTGTACTTTAATATTTGAATAATAATGGATACTCGCATGAAAAGATACATTTTTTTAGAACACACACACACACACACACAAAAAGGAAAACTGAAGAACAGAAAATAAAATCCGGGTCGTACCCAAAACATGGGATTACTGCTTTTTCTAATTTAACTAAATCCCATTTTACTTAGCCCTGTGCTGTACTTCTTGCTATTGCCAAGCACAGCCAAAGAGAAAAGCTCTGGACTTCATTAGTTACCATTTCAAACCCATCCAAATTATAAGCAGTTACAGATGACAGGGTTCAGGGTGCAGGCATAAGAGACACCCTCATTCATGGGACAGTGCGAGGGGCCACCAGGGGACCTCCCAGGAGGGCTGCGCGGTGCGTCCGGTACCTGCTCCGTTCGGGAGAGCCACGGGCAGCCTGAGCTCTCAGCCCAACTCGCACGGAGTTTTCTGATCGAGTCAGAGCTGCTGGATAATTACCGCTTAGAGAAGGAGACCTCTGGATTTACTTTCCTAAATATATATATATATATAATCTTGATAGTCTCATATGACATCTTATATAAAAGGGAAAAACAAAACAAACAAACAAAAACAAAAAACAAAAACACACTATTTCTTTTACGGGAAACTGAAAATAAAGTACTCAAAGACGGATTTTTAAACCTACTTAGAGTCGCATTTCTAAATCATGAAAGTATCCTGCCCCCAAAACAGAGTGGGGGGATGCAGTGCACAATGCCTCTAAGTTTTCACAGATCGACTGGTCTGCTTCAACACTTTTAAAGCATTCTGACCAAAAAAACATAGAGGGGATGAGAGAGGGGGAAAGAGCAGGAGGAGAAAGGGAATGAGAAGGAGGAAGGCCAAACACTTACCAGCACAAGACAGGTGTCCACCAAGGAAAAGGTGCCCGATCGTCCTATCCCCGCACTGCAGTGAACCACGGCAGGTCCGTGGTCAGGACTAAGCGACCCGGATTCTCTGACTTTAAACAAGAAGTTCAGGAACGATGCTGGGGACTCAGGAACTCCAAAGTCTGGCCACGTAGTATAATGGAAATGAAATATCATCCTGGACTCACCACTCTAGAAGTGCAAACAAACAAATAATGCAACTATTAGCGCCGTAAACTCAACACTCTTGTTCAGCACAAGTTTTAACAGCAAGGAGTATTGGCATCTATCTCATGGACACTGCCCACACCACTGACAGCAGCACGAAGCTTTATGAAAAAGCCTTGGTAAAGGCCTAGAAGAAGCTATATTGCAGATGCCTAACAGGGCTTCTCCTGGAAATACTTACTCCTTATGTGCGCAAGAAAAATGCTAAATGCACCCGCTGTTTTCTGCCTCTCTCCTAACATGGCCAACTAGCTGCAGGTACTGGTGGCAGCATGACAGTAGCACAGCATGTGTCAATTTGAAAAGCTCTGATGGCAGATTTGAATTGCATCTGTAGAGCTGCTGTTAAATGTTACCCCTTATCTCCCTTCTTTTTTTTTGTCCTGGTGATTTTGAGAAAAAAAAAAAATCTTTTATCACGACTGTAGTTTAACAATCCCAGAAAAGTTATTTTTAATCCTTCAAGTCAGCTTATTTTCCACATAGTTTTAAATCTCAGACTCCACAAAGTTGGAGTGCAATATTTAAATTATTGGTGCATTCCAGAAGAGCAATTTTTCCTTTTCATCAACAATAAAAAAATTATAACAAAAACATTATAAGCAATTTTCTCCATTTCTAAAAGAAAATAATGCATACAAACACAAGAAAGTGATTGAAGAAAAGAACTATACACAAGTTAAAAGTTGTTTCTTCTAGACTTAGATGATCCTTTGGAATGGTAACTGATGGGGTACAAGCCAATATCCTTATCATCTCTGACATCCCCCAACACATTCTTATAAAGCATTCCAGATTACAGTCTCTCTTATTCCTTGAGAGGAAAAAAAGGGCACTTACCTATTGAAAACAAGGGTACATAGTCTTAATTCCAGGCTGTATAATGTATGCACACACACACACACAGAGGGACCATGCCATAAGATATCAACTCATTTGCTCCCTGTACCCTTTTCTCCCACACAGGACAGTTTGGCAGACTATCTGTTTCTACCTTCTGTTCAGACACAGGGCCAAGCGACAACCTGCTCAGACTACATCGAAGGCCAGTATCTCCACAAGAACAAGAACACTGAATCTCATCCAAATAGATACCCTAACTCAGAATTATTCTTGGTCCTTCTCCTCCTACCATTAAAGGCTTTAACCCTATCTCTCTGATACTATACTCTCTGAAACTTGGCACCTCTTGAGTTACTGCTAAGAGTCCTGTTCCACAGCACTGAAATGGGCTGGTCTGCTGTGAACCTGAAGGTTTTACTGGCACAGCCAAATCCATCTGCGCATTTCCAACATCCCACATTTTCTGTGTTAAACAAAAGAGCTCTTTCAAATGGGTTCCTGGAAGTCAAGCTGCACAGCTGAAGTGCTGCCTTTATGGGAATGTCCTTACCACTTTCAGAGACCTCTCCTCCAGTATTGAGCAACAAGCCTACCATGCCCAGCCTCTTCTTTTGTGTGGGGGTCATGCAAAGCTCCTGCCACAAAGGTATAGACCCTCAACCACTGATCACCCTAAATGCAACTTTACAAACACTTAGTTTTATTTAATATTACCAGGAATATTATCTAGGAAACTAGATATTCTTTTAAAGAATAAAAGAAAAAAAGCTGAACTACAAGATTCAGCTAGGCAACATAAACTTTATATATGATACAGCCAGCAAAAATGTTATTACTTGATAATGAAAACTAGCTTATTCTACAGTAGTCACAACATCTTTTTCCCAGGAGTTATTCCTTAAGATTAGCTATAGTGGAAAAAGAAAACCTAGAATAGCCACCAGATAACATTTAAATAAACAAACAAAAGGACTTTCCAAGAAAGTGAGTCAAACCAAGGTCAAGTTTCAGGAAATACTAGGATAATCTTCCAGTAAATAAGCATCCCAGCTTAATAAGCTCATGAAGTTAATACCACACTGGCCAGCTCTCCCCGACAGCTGGCAACGCTAACAGGCCAATGATGATCAAACCACAACCAACTTTGCAGGGTAGAGGAACAGGAGAACCAGATTCCTATAACCAGTACTCATCTCTACGTCAATACGGTCGAAGTGACATCCTTGAAATCTGTAAAACACTGTACGTCCTCTTCCCCTCAGAAACAGCTTCTCTCACCCTTGGAGCCTTTGCTTCAAGACACAGACGTGCTATAATTTCTTACATAAATGATTATATTTAACACGAGCAGAATAATCTTCTCTCTCATTACTTTCTGACATGGGCAAAGGCAGGCAGATGCCTTCATCTACAGACATGAAACGATCCAGGATACACAGTGAACCAGGGGAGAACAGCAGCCTCAGATTTCTGCATTCTAAACTGCAGACCATGTCAGGCAAAAAAAAAAAAAAAAAGGCAAGACAAAACACATTAAAAACATTTTTAAATTTTTGTAAAGATAAGTTTTGGAAAGATAAACATCACCTCCAAAGTTTTACAGTATAACAGCCATCAAAGCAAAAACAAACCCGAAACTGCCAAATGGCATGATGTAAACCTTAACAAAACTCACTTGTTTTTCTAACTTCTCTTAAATTACATAGTTAGAAGACTTTTTCCATAGCTAAAACCATGAAACAGGCACTTTGTTGGAGTTCTACATTGCTGATGAATTAAAACTGTTACAGTAACAAGAACTGTTTACTTGAAAGGATTTCAGAAGTGTTTTTACTAAAGACAGTAAATCTAATTCTACAGTTGTAGAAATACTAGAGCTTGTGCAGAGCAGCAGCATTTGCCTTGGTCATCGTATATTCCTTGTGGGACAGAGCTCAGCTTCTCACTAATCTTCCCTCATCAAGTCCCCCCAGAGAATAGCTTGAAAAATGGTTATATTTACAGTTACTGTAAATATTCAGCTCTAACAAGTTTTATGGCATATTTATTAAATTCTTATAGATGGCTGCACTTAAAACTTTGCAGCATTATTTGGGAAATTAAGGGTTTTTTTTCTATGTACATAACCAAGTAAGCTGTAGTTTTGTATTAAAAAATATTCTCTGCAATCAATATGTGTGGAGCTTTATAGAGTACTGAAGAACTAAAACAAAAATTTAATAGAGTAGGTTTGCTAAATATCTGTGAAACTGAGGTGCATAAATCAAGAAGCTCGATACAGAAGTAAAGAGCCTGCACTACAAGTTCAAAGCAAACCCAAAAACTTAAATGCTTAATGGCTTAACCCCCAAAGGTCAGCAATAATAAGCTGTTCTGTTTCCCATGTGATTTCTCCATTTTCCAGAAACACGGGGCTTTAACATCAAGTCCAAACATCCACACTTCATGAAAACTGCATCCCTCTGGGGAATTGCACCCCCCTCCTTTAATCTTAAACGAAAAATTAAGACGCCTGATATTAGAGACAATTGTGTTAACAGAATAACAAAATATTTTTGATAATAAGGAAGACTTGCCTCAGGTTTCCAAAAATGGTGAGGTTTTTTTCCCCCCTTAGCCACTGGCTTATCAGCACCATCCCTCCTTTCTCTGCCTTTGCTGTTAATAAAAGACCAACTGAACAGGAATTCCTCAGGTGACTAGAAGAGAATTTCACCCAGTTCTCTTCTTACACTGATTAAACCAGGCAGCAACATGCCAAATTTTATTACGTTAATCTTGTGAGAGATGTTTCAAATTAACAAGCAGCATCACAAAGTATCACGAATAGTTACTATAAACTCAAAAAACTTTGACCAAATATATCAAGGCTTGGTCACACAAGTAAGATGCAATTTAACATCTTCAAACTTTCCTTCCCCAAATCCACTACCACAATAACCTTGAATGAAACTTGCCATATAATTACTTTCAAAGCAAGACAAGGTTTATAGGGAGATGGAATATCTTACAAGACACAGCTGGGACAGACAAGCTCTTCAATCTTGTCTTCAGCTCTGAAACAGAAGCAGCAAATTCCAACCCAATCTCAGGCCAGGAACTTTTTTTTTTTTTTTTTTTTTGAGCTTAACTTCATTAAATTGTCAAGAGTGGTTATTTTTTTTAAGATAAAAGGACGGTTGGTCCTGTAGAACAAAACGGGAGGTAAGCAAGAGGAGGTAAAGTTACCTATCTACAGGTGATATCTACTCCCCGGGCCCTTCCCCCTCCCCCCAAAAAAGGCACTTAGCTAAACTAAAATTATGGGGAAAAAGGGCAGAGTTCTATAAAAACATTAATTGTCAAGTGATTTCTGGTATTTCAAAGAGCTGTAAGTTTCAGTTCCTAGATTCCTCCTCTTATGATACTTCTTACAGCTCCTCTTCAAATCAGCACTACCATCAATTAACATTCAGCATGTCAAAAACTGCCTATGTGAAAACTGAAATATTAAGAATGTTGAAGCTATTCTCCTTTTTAATGTACAGATTAAAACAGATCCAGCTCTGTTGCCCATATGCCACACATACACCTTCAACATTATCAGACGCAAAAAACATTGAAATTTTCAGTGCAAAGTCAGAGTCAAACCTGTAGTGACAGTTTGCTAAACATCTCCAACAGTTTTTTTCCTTAAGCCTGGAAGTAGCAGCCATAGAGACAGAGAAAAAGCTTACGTTGATATTTTCTAATTGCAGTAGATGTACTGTGTAATAGGATTTGATGTCTTCAGATACTAGCCTCACACAGAATCCTGTTTCCTTGAACGTCATAACTTCTTCTTCTTTTGTTGGCCAATATTGTGCACACTTCACCTAAGTTATTCAAAAAACAAGTAAGCATTTTAGCATCTTGGGCTGCATATCAACAACTTTGGAGAATCTATTACACAATATCAAACTCAAGTACATACTCCTATCCCCAGTTTGAGTAACTCTGAAAGTCTGCAACTCTTACAACCAAGTTACTACAATTGTTTCAAGTGCTATTACATCTTCAGGCTTTATCTGCTTCCAATTGCTTTTCTCTCAGGGCTTGTAGTATTTTTCAAGACATATCTTGCCCCTTTTTTGTCCCCCTCCTTCCACCAACAACAGGGAGAGCTATCTACTGAGCTATTTTAACATATCTCCTCTTCCATTTCCCATGTACACATCTGCACATTTACAGATTTTGTGTAACATGTTCTGCCAAATATTGTAAGATTAAATAATCTTTTGTTGCAGAAGTCTTGCCTAACACTGGAAAGTTCTAGTAAAACTGAATAATGAACTAACAAAGCAATGCAAAACTATCACACTTCCTGTATTCCTCTTGCCTGCACTCTGACTTTACCCTCCCAAAAAGTGGCGTATATCAAAGTATGTGATTTTTTTTTTAATGAAATAGTTGAGTCTTTCTGCTAACAAAATAACTCTGAAGAAAAAAAAAATGTAGCTGAAACCCACAGCGGCTTTAAGCAGAATAGGAAAAAAAACTACACCAAGAGATTTACATATTCTTCATATTCATGATCTCTTGTAAATAATAAAAAATAATTAGGCCTGTTTGACAGTTGGTGGCAGCAGCATGGCTCCACTCTTACCACCAGGTAAGATCCCTATGCAAATAAACAAAAAAATCTGTTAGAATAATCTAAAGATACTTGAATTCAAAGGTTTTTCTCCTACCTTCTGTTTTATCCCAGAGAATCTTAAACTAGCTTCTCCTCCACTGTAGTTTTGTCTCTACAGTCTCTTTTCCTGGAAGATTTCTTGCATCTTTTTGAATGTTTATTTGTCACATGCTGGTTATACTGAACTGAACTCAGTCTCTCAGTTTCATCACTTTGTTAAATATGTGCAAAAGCTATGCTGTACACTTGTCAAAGTCTGTTAATTCTTTTAATAGATTTATCAATCAGACCTAATAAAACATAGTTGAAAAGCATTCAACAGGATTAAAGTTATGTGGCTTGCTTTACGACTTACGTTAAATGCCTACTATTACTTACCGATTCCTTTTCAACAATTCTGTTGAGCATGACAACTGCTTTGGTTTTTTGTTGCCATACCATTAGCCAAAAATGACAACATGTATTAGGCAGTGGACCCTGTGTGGTAAAGAAAAAAATAATGGGTGGGAGAACATATAGGCAAAGCAGTGTTTGAACTCGGTTAATGTTTTATTGTGTGAAACAGGAAAAACTCTTCCCCTGAAATGTTTACACAAACTATTAATAGAATGATATACACAACAGGCAAGAGAATAACTATACTGCACAGATATTCTAAGTTTAAACAGAAACCAGTTAAAACTCAGGGAAGGTGTGTCACAGTTTGGACACTGGTACTACTGCCTGGTTAGAAGATGAATGCACAAGAGTAACAGGATGAAGGTATAAAGGTATAGCTGCAATGTGTTTCCAGAAGAGCTGAAGAAAAGAGGGAGCAGAAACACTTGAAAAGCTGCAAGTGCAGTAAAATGCATAACGAAGTAGTCTTTTCTTAAAATAGAAATAATAAGTTCCCAATTCGATCAAACAGGAATTAGTATTCAAGATGTGCACGCCACAACAAATAATATATAGATTATATTTATATTATGAAGACATATATTTGTGTATGTAACATTGTATATAGACTGCATATAAATTTCCAGTGTACCAAGTTCCCTCCATATTTTCAATCCGTGTAATAACTTACTAACTAGAACTACTTACCTGTGTTAAAATATAGTATCTCTGGGCTTCTTCTATGACCACTAGGCTGGCATTAATATAGTCATTCTCTGTGTTCTGCAGTTTTACACGACTATGATCATCTGAAATTAAGACATAGTTAAAAAAATTACAGATCTAACCATCTTGGAGAATGTGCTCTCACAGGCATGTTTCGGTCAGACAAGAAATTAGGGAATTAATTTTAACTAATACATGGAAGTAAGAACTAAATGTCAAACTAGAAAAACATGTGAAACTAATTTCTCACATGGCTTTAATAGCTGTGCTTGCCTCACAATACTTCATCAGAGAGTTGCTTACAGAGCTATTAATAGAAACTACTCAGAAAATTGGAATACCTGTTTTTTTCCAAAAAACCTACCGAAATAAAACAACCTACACACATACAAAAAGCAGCTCTCTCAACAGTCACATTTCCTTAATGTAACACCACCACAACCCAGAGAAGGCAGCAGTCTATTCTATGACAACAGATCATTTCACTGATTTTCTCTCCCTTTAAGTTCAGAATGCCAAGATTTTTGTGAACTGAGGTTTCACAGAAAGAGAATCATCATACTGAACAGAGCTAAAAATCTGAAGAACTTGCATTACACTCACAATAATTCAGAGAGCTTTTTCTCCTATCAATTTAATATAAGCTTACATATCCCAAAGAAGCAGGATGTGCAAAAACTGTACCTCATTTCACAGGTTTTCCAATCAAATTTAATCTAAATTAATTACAAAGTTGTCATCTCCTGTGACTATACAGGCAAGACAGTAGATGACATTTCTGACAAGGACAAGCTGTCAAAGCACTGTTTAAAATCATAACATCAATATGAAAGAGACAGACAGTCTCATACCACAATACTGCATTAAAAAACACTGTAGCTGTTTTTAGAGTTTATTAATCTGATTTGTCTTTCTTAAGGAAGCATTTAAGTAATCAGACTTGTTCACTGTAACTAATCATTCTTCAGACTAGAACAGTATTAAGTAAACCACATTTTTAGCTTAGAGTTGTATACATAACTACATGCCAGGAACTGAGGCCCAAAAAACGGAGAATCCCCAAAGCTCACCTGCCCAGACAGACTATCTGCAAGAAGAGTAATAGTAAACAGGCATCACTTTAAGAGAATCCACCACACTTCAGGAAGACAGAAATTTCATTAAGGAACTGCCAGTGAGTGCAATGACTGCAAATTATCTCCTGCAGTGCAGCTCTGATAGCTGAACTCAGATTAAGCCTCTACACTGCAGCCGGTTTATATCACATGAGGCTTATCTAAGCAGAAATCCACCGATACGACCCCAGGTGAGCAAAATGCTAACAGGAATCAGAAAATAAAGTTACCAAATTAGACACTTGTTCTTGATATTGCTCATATTATTTTACAAATATTTTTCAAATTACTGGAAACCAAGAAAAGCCTGCTTACTAGTCTCATTCTGCCTTTTTACCCTAGCTAGCTGCTACTGGCAAGTGTTAGACACAAGACTATACATGGATCCTTTATAAGGCCAAGAATAAGTTTACTTCTATTAGGTTATCACTACTGGACAACCTTTAACCTCTTCAGCATGTGCTTATCTTACACAAGTCAGGAAAATAAGTCTCTTTTCTACAAGGACTATTATTTGGGATTCTTAGCCTGCTTGTCTCCTTAAACCACTAGCTTTTACATGCAGTGCCACATAAACTTACAAAAAACAGAAGTAGGCAAAAAAACTTTGATCTTTCATATGAAAGTGTGAGAATGTTACTCATTTAGTCTCTGTTTTCATTAGCATTCCAGCTGCAAGTCAACACCATTGTGACTCTCAGGAGTCTTAAAACAATTTATGATACATCTGTATAAAGAAAAAATATTACCAAAGCCAAGCCACAGTTGATTTAAGACACATATATGTCAGAGTAAAATATATCTCCTTGCATTACTTTGTCTGGAAATGAAAGCGTTACTTTTCCCTTTCATGTATCACTTTATCTGAAATGTTTCTACTGGAGAGAAACCAAGACCTTTGTAAATATTACATGTCATTTGCCAACAGGAAAAACTTAAGATCTTGTTATAGTAAATCACACATACCGGTACTAGGCTTCTCGGAAAGCTGACGTCAGCCAGCACTGTTAACAGTTTAATCACCCAGCAGCAGCTGCTGTGGTGCCACCAGCAGCAGATAACTAGCTAGGCTATAGCGCTTGCACACATCTAAAGCCTTATTCTTTCCTTCTGGTAAGCTCTGCTTTGTAAACTTAATGATCACATTCTGATTTTTCTTTTTTAAATTACGCACTTTTAGCAGCTAATTCTATGCACAGGCACCTTCCCAAGTCCCCAAACAGCAGCAATGCTGCACACAGACACGCTCTGGAGGACAATGAAAGCCACTAGAGTCCATCGATTCTCCTTCTTTCAAAGGAAAAGGTTCCTAGAGGACAAAATGACCTAGAAACCTCATTCAAGTCCTGGCTTGCTCTTCTGAATTAAATGAAGCAAGCCAACTTTTGACAGTGTTAGCTGAAACATATTTCCCCGTATGTAAATCATTTCCAGTTACAAAGTACTTCAGATTTATATGAATGATAAGCAGATCTCTAAGATGAGATAGATCCTAAACGTTACTAGCCAAGGCAGCTAAAATACAGCACACATTATCTGAAGTGCTAATTCCCCTTTTCCAACAAATTATGCAGCCTAAAAAGGAAGTGGATACCTTAAAAATGCTTCTCCTTCTGGCTCCACACTACGAAAACTAACCCACAACCACTGTGTATGAGACAAACTCTTCTACTGACCACTTTAGGCAAAAACCTTGTCCCTCTGATTTCCATGACAATACTGTGCATTTCAAACATGACCACGATTCCACATTTTATATTAATTTGCCCTCCTTGCTAAAGAGGAGAGAAAAAAAAAAGTTAAAACATGACGTATTCAATTAAGACCGAGATGGGAAGTGTTTGGCATTTTACATGATACAGTTAGTTCTTGCAGCTGGTTACCAGGAAAGGGTTTTACTTGAAAACAATTATGTTTCCAGAAGTGAAACCAGTGCACAGCTTAAAAATGATCTTTTATCTAAGAGGCATCTCTTGCTCCCCAAACACAGTGCTCTTAACAAGAGGGTAAAATGCTACTTAGTAGATTAAAGGAACCCATAAATAGAACATGCAGCCAACAGAGTGACCAAGTCTGACCTTTCCTCTCCTAGGGATTCCCCCTCATTTCACTCACCTGAATCTATTCCTCTACCCTCAGTGCTAAAGGATCCAAGTTACAGCACTGGCACTGCACCTACAAACTCAAATTTCAGAGTTAGCCTAAGGCAGAAGGAAGCGACCTTCCTGCCACGCACTGTACTCGATGGATGCCCTAACAGAGTACTAATTAGGGCCTGGCTCCTAACTGGGATGTACTCAGACACACATCACTAGTGCATAGCAGCCTCATGCTCTTAAGCATGACTAAAATAAAAGTAATGTACTAATATAAAGCTTACATCACTACATGCTAGAAGATTTCCCTCTTTCCCCAATGAAGGAAGTTCTCCAAAAGCAGCTCACTGAGCTTACTTATATCATGCTTCTGGAAAGCTATCAATAAAATATTTTTACAGAATCGTTAAAAGCCATGGCATGCCATCAATATCAACTTCCAATAGCAGCAGTGAGAAAAAAAAAATGCATTCACTTACTTTTGACATAACATCCCTCCATTTGCGGAGGTATGGTATGCAGACTGAAAAGGAACATTTTTGTGCCAGCATTTAATCAGCATTGAGGATAAAACTGTCCACATCAGCTCCCACTCCGTTCCCCAGAGAGCACAATACTCTTCACGGTCCTCTCTCGCAGGCATATACTCTATGCCAAGTGCAAGCCTAGGGTTTAAAGATCTGAAACAAAGACTACTCATGACTTAAAGATTCAGCACAAAGACTACAGGATGGCTAAAGGAAGAAAATAGGAGAAATCCCTACTCAAGATCTTCCAACAGCAATATGATTTATTGGCTGAAAATATTCAGCTGAGCTAAGAAAATGGGTTACAAACTACATTACAGAAGAGGACTAAATAATTTACTTGTGTCTCCCTCCACTGCTACCAAAAGCAAGAAAATAAATCTCAGTTCTGCAAAGGGCATTTTCCTCCTGCTCCTAAATCTTGGAGCAGTTAGCTGACTAGGAGATCTCTGAAGGTGCTTACAGTCAGTCTGAGACACTAAACAAAATCATATTACATGCAATATTACATATTACAAAATCATTAGGGCAACTATCTAGTGACTATGATGTGAACTGAGGATAAGCTTTAGAAAGAAACTCATGACAGATCTAAAGAGTTTCATTAAAGGTATCAAATAAAAGTAATAGCCCCCAAAGTTATTTTCCTCTTAACAATGTTTTCTGAGAAATGGTTTCATCTGTCAGGAAATGACTGGCTCTCAAACCAAACCTATTTCAGATTAACTTCCTGTTTCAATACTGCTACATAGCCAAGATATTCCTCTCCCTACTCTAGACTTGTACTGAACTACCAGAACACTATCTTTGGCTGGCAGTAACTAGCAATTGCTCTTGCTGTACCAAACCTTTCCTCTGCACACCACAGCGCTCTAGCCACAAAACTGAGCACTAAGAAAAACAGTTAAAATGCCCTAGACATTCAATCAATTGTAATGACCAAAGATGCTTGGCCTTACACAGCTAACAGAAATCATCTTTCACCTAAGAAAGGTATGTAAACAGCTACAGATTGTTTTCATCGTTTGTTGCCTAGCTGTTTGGAGCAAATGGAAATGGAGCAAAACAGCAAAGACTAACGATCGTTTGTTGCCTAGCTGTTTCGGTTGAAATGGAGCAAAACAGCAAAGACTAACCAGAATAAAAAGACAAGTAAAAAACATTTTTTTTTTCTGTACTATAGTCCAGATCTTTCTACAAGACAAAATAATCTTTGCATTTCCTCTTACAGCCACGCCATCTCAGATTTTGGACTGGCTAGGCTGCTATCCAGTTTAACAAATCATTTTATTACTGTCATGCAGAAATAAATCATTTTAATCAAACTGTTTCTAATATATTTCTAACATGCTTACTTAAACAGCTAGATCATAGCAGCTTTAACTATCAAACATTTTCTAACCCTTAAACTGGAGCATCTGCTTCTCACAAGTAGTTCTGAAGGTCTTTAATTATCACAGTGATTATCACTATCAGTATTTCATATAAACACCGTTAAGTAGCCATTACATTTGTAAAGTCAAGGACTGAAAAGTTAGAATGTGTAAGATCTACTTGTATTTCTGCAATGCCAGTTCCTTGCACACGTGCACCATGATATGATGTGTTCACCACAAGGACCGAATCACAGAGCTTTTACCCCAATTGCTTTGGAATTTATGCACCACTATCTTGGAATGTTTTTGTTACATATTTCCTTCCAGGTCTCTTTCTCCTCCCAACTCCCACCCTTACAGAAACAATTATGAATCATTTTTGCTAGCACACAGATTTGAAATTCAATAACAATTATTTCTGAAACAGTGCTTTGCTCTTTTCTCCTAATAAAGCCTTGTCCCTAGTGCCTTAGTGGCCCAATTTGAACCTTCTTGTCTTTCACACATGCTAAAAACTGAGAAATGCTTCATAAAGCTCATCACTTTAGGTCAGACATCATGGTACTCTTCAAGTCAACTAAGATGCAGTAAATTTTATCCCTTTTTAAACAAACCTACCACTTCGAGACTAGATTTAATTGTCTCCTTGTTGTCGTAAAAGGCCAAAGGATTAATATCATGATGCAATAAACTCCCTCCTGACTAAGCTAGTGTTTTAAAAGCAGGCTCTGTCACAACAGCTCGGAGGAAGGCAATTGGATACAGCCTTCAGTACTGTGAAAGGCATTCCATTAACAAGAAAAATCCGAGTTTGAAAAAACAGCAAACACTTGAAGTGCAAGCTGTCTCTTTGCAGTTGTGCGTAAGAACCAGCTTTAGGGATGGGATGGAATGTAAATACATGAATACAAATTCAGTCACAGAAATTACTGAACCCAGGAAAAAAGGCTGGATGTCATGGACTGAAGTTTCGTTTCTTACCTTCTCTTCTTACAGCCCTCTGTCTCAATGTAGGTATGAAAATGGATCACGCTGCATTCAATTTCTGTAACTTTATCACAGGTAAGAAGCTAACTCTGTGCTGTAACTGCAAGCCTGAGGCACTGAAGTAGCACCACATACATCAGCTAAGGTCCAGAAAAAAATAAACATCTAAGCATCTGCTGAGCATGAAGCTCAAGTTAATGACCCTTGAGCTATCTCCTTCATAAGTGCACATTTCTCAAATTGGACTGTACCATATAGGCTTTGCACAGACTTCAGTTACATCACAGTATGGCATTTAGATTGAGCACTAAGCCTGGCAGAACCCGTTTGCTGTGCCTACATGCTGCAAGGCAGCGCTCGAGCAGCAGCCCGGCAGGCAACAAGCAGCTCTGCATCTGACCACTGGGACTTGGATTGAACCCTTGCAGGCTCATATTGAGAAGTGTTATGCACATGCTGGTACCACGAATTTCTACTGGAAATAAGGAGTTCAGCACTTCTCCACGTCTTACCATAGGTACTTCACGTGAGGCCCAGAAAAAAGTAAAAAAGGCCCCAACACACCAACAACCCCTCAGGAAGGTCAGCTCAAATAATGAGAGCTTTTAAGTCTTTCCTGCTCTGGGAAACTTGATATTAAAAGATACATAAGCATTTTCACTTGTCCTGACTTCAGAATTTGTAGAAAAGTTAAGGCTACACTCAAATTTTTTCTTAGTTCTTTTGAAAGTTATTTTTAATAGCTTACTCCAGCTATAACTGCATATAGGTAATCCTGCTGTAGACATTTTCCTCGAGATTTTGGAATAGAGTTGCTGGTACACCTTTTGTTGAAGTCTGCAACATTTCCAATACTGAAGAATTTGGTAAAAACAGTTGTCTTCACAACTGGATCCTTACACTATCAAGCACATTTTATGGTAGGGGTAAAACATAAAGCACTACATCCCATCATTTACTTACACTGAGAGAACTACAAAATTATTTCACGCATGCATTCTGAGGAACGCACAAAATAAAACTCTCAGGTAGCTTTTAAAGCACTAGTACAAGTTCAATGATGTTTTTCCATACAACCCTATTCCAGAAGTGTTGTTTGAGTTGTCTAAGGAGCCCTGAATTAAATCGTCTAAGTTAGTCACTGCTTATTAATGTTAAGCTTTGTGCTCAGCAGCTGTTGGTATCTTGATTGTTTTAATTCAGATAGA